ATGTGCAGCTTTAAGAAAGGCCTGTTTGGTAACAGTTTATCTTTTTTTATAACGGGTCTTGAGAAAGTTGAACAAAGTATTTTCAGAGGTTTATTTGTGTGGACGAGGAGTTATTCCATCGGTAATCAGAGAAAACAACTATGGATGATTGTGTGGGTCTTCAGAGTGGAGGTTATTCACACACACACACACACACACCCAGCAGGCTTTTATTTTTTCTGTTCGGCTGACTGACACTCATTTCCACCTTTTCCAAATGCTTGGCGTGTTTTGTGAAGGTGCTTCTAAATCAGCACGAGAACGAGAACACGCCTGTAGTTGATGAACTGCATCCAAAAATAAAACCAATTCCAATATTTTTGAATTGGGCGCTCCTGAAGACAAAACACTCAAGTGGAACCTTTCCCTATAAGTTTGCTTAAAGTTCCCGGATGTGTTCTTGTATTGAGAATGCATCAATGCACCCTTCTGTGGACTTGGGACAGCAAAGTATCCCACAATACACTGTGTCGCAACCGTTATACTCCGAACGTCAGAGGACAAATCTAATAACTAGAATTTTAGAAATTCAGAAATACTAATAAAGAAATATCAAGTTGTTATTGTATTGTATTCTTCATGCACGGCTTTCCTCTGAGGAAGGTCTTCTGCAGATCTGCTTCATGCAAAATTTTAAATATTAAGAACGTTCATACATGAGTACAAGTGTCTGTAAAAAGTACTGGAAAAAACACAAACGCTCCTAAAGGGCTAGAAAAGTTTATTACATAAACATAATATGAATCTGCAATGTCACTCAATCCCAGCCCGAGCCCGTTTCACCAGATAATACTCCCCTCGCTCTCGACCTGATGTCAAACAGACTTCCCCTCTCTTTAACAAAGAGAGGGGATGTAAAAAAAAAAAAAAAGAAAGGCGTGCAACAATAAGATAGAGATTGGGATGTTTTGCTTTATTGCTCTCTTTACCCTCACACACAGACACTGATAGCCGTGCAGCGTGTATCACACCACGAGGAAGGTTTAATGTTTGGCCATATGTCAGGATGAGGAACTGCATGGAGAGGGAAGGTGCCATGTGCTGGCATTAGTGGAGATAAAACCTGAGGGGATTCCAAGTGGGATTCAGTCATTTATCGTCAATTTATAGTCTAACTTTAAAGTTCTTGTCAAACAGGGCTTTGGACGGCATCGAATCACACTACACTTTGAGTATTTCATGAGCAGTTGCCATATCGGTGGCTGCTGTGTGTTTATACCTGTTTGTTAAATGGCTAGCCAATCATAACAGAAAACCACCAACGACATGAAGAGGAGGCAGGAAACAGGCTGTAATGCTGAATTTAGATCAATCCTGGTCCTCAAAGGCCACTGGCCCATACCTGCCCGAGTCAGATTTTGAGGACGTGCTGAACAGAAAATTCAGGCATTGAATTAGGTGTGTTGGAGCAGAGAAATAACTAAAACATGCAGGGTGGTGGTTCCATGGGACCGAGATTGGACTTCACTGAAAATGTTGACCCATGTTTGAAGATAAATCAGTCCTGTGAATGCATCATGCATGATTTTAGCAGGAAAATAAAAGAATATAAATGTGTTTTGAACATTTATTATACTTAGAGATAATTCTGCCTCAGTTTTTTTTACCATTTGAACTGGTGTTGCTGATTATAGTATGTTAGTGTCAGTGTTTCCTCCACTTATTGTCTTTAAATGAATAAATATTGAGGAAATTAAGTGAATGATGCAAACAGAGGCAATTTTCTGGTGATTTATTTATTTATTTAGTTATGACCTTGTTTCTTAAGAAGATTCAACCGCTTGAGATGAACCAACGTGTTTTCAAGCGGGTCATCTTACCGTACAACAAATAGAAAGCAAGATAGCACAGTTAATAAGAATTAACAGTTCTAAAACATTAATCACAAAGTAAGATAAATCCTGTCATGGTGCCTCCTAAAAATATATATAGGCAAAATATCCAAAGCATTCCTAAAAATCTGTGAAGATAGATAGATAGATAGATAGATAGATAGATAGATAGATAGATAGATAGATAGATAGATAGATAGATAGATAGATAGATAGATAGATAGATAGATAGATAGATAGATAGATAGATAGATAGATAGATAGAGAGAGAGAGAGAGAGAGAGAGAGAGAGAGAGAGAGAGAGAGAGAGAGAGAGAGAGAGAGAGAGAGAGAGAGAGAGAGAGAGAGAGAGAGAGAGAGAGAGATAGATAGATAGATAGATAGATAGATAGATAGATAGATAGATAGATAGATAGATTAAATTAAATTGTGGGGATTCATAAAAAGAAAAAATAAAAGAAGTGGTTCTCGCATTTTTCTAAAAACCCCGCCAATAACATGTTTTAGACTGAAAGCAACCCTTGGACCATCCAGTTGTTGGTCTCGCCGAACCGCTGCCCTTCCCTGGGTCCTCCACTCATCACACACTCAAGTATAACAGATCTCCACTGGTGTGAGGTTCTCCACTCAACAACATCAAAGAAGGAGAAACAGTCGGCTGCTACCACTTCAACTTTAGGACAAACTACAGTGTCCCACAAAGAAAATCACCATTTAAAGTCACGGAGAGCAAAAGACGTTTAAACCTAGAAAACAGCAACTGGTGTTTAGCTCTATCTCGTTTCCTCTTGAAATGCGGGTTTGCGTTTCTGGCAGAAGCCTCTCAGGGAAGATACCCGATGGGAGGCGTGAGTGTTCTGTGGCCGTGTTTGAGTTTAAAAACCTAGCTTGTTCTGTAGATATGCTAAAGCACCTTTAAACCACAGCACAATGTTTTTTGTAAGAATATAAAATAATTTCTAAACCTTTGCTTTTCATTAGCTCTTCAGCTTTTTGTTAATGCAGTACCGGATTGCCTTAAGAATCTGTCCTGGAGACAAGATGGCCCCTTGCTCATGCAGCTTCAGCTGCTGTAAAACACTCCTGTGGTTCAGCAAGTCAATAAAAAGGAAATGTTTGTCTGTACTCCCGGAGCTTTAATGGACCTGAAGTGGAACTTCAAATGACTCAAAAAGGTGAATTATAGTAAAATCAATGCTTTTTACATACGTCATCTCCTTTCTTGTGACCTTCACACTCACTAAATATTTGGACTTGGTCAGCTCATCTTTCTATAAAGTCATTTTTGTCTTTCTCCTCATACAAGGGGCCACTTTCTGTGAGGCGTCTCAAGTTTATAACCGGCTCATGTTTCTGTTGCCATGTCTCCATGTTGAGATGTGTGTTGTGCATGCTGAGAAAAATTGGAAAGCAGCTCGAGGTTGAGCGGCAGTGGGTTTTCTGACATGAGTTCTGGCGTTTGGTTACACGTAAACCCAAGGGTATTACTCCAGCAGAGAACCTCAACCTTCGTAGCGGCTTGCTTCAGATATTTTAGCCTCACATGCAGTTCTCATGTGAATGTGTGAATATATGCGTGAACAGAGACGAGAAAAAACATCTCAACATTCAAATTGGATGAAATTAATTTAAGGCCATTGATCTTTAAAAACAACAGCAAAACAACAGGCTTTTAGCTGCAGAATGTAAAACAGAGAGTTTTGACGACAGCAGAGGAGAAAATATTATGAGCAGCCTTCTTCCCTTCCCTGGGAGAGTTTGGTGGAGTGCTTTCTCACTGTGATAATGAAATGACCTGGCCTGCACTGCTCCGCTCTTTCTCAAAAACACATCTGCGAGACGAGGGTGAAAATGAGAAAATCCTACCTCCTCTCCTGAGTTTCGTAAAGCATACTTTCAATATTCTTTCTCTCTGAGAACGATGGGAGTCGGAGTGAGTGTGGAGTTTGGTGTCCTTGTGAGTGTTGTGTGTTGCTCTTGCACTGTGTGAGTGCATTGTTTCATGTGTGTGTGTGTGTGTGTGTGTGTGTGTGTGTGTGTGTGTGTGTGTGTGTGTGTGTGTGTGTGTGTGTGTGTGTGTGTGTGTGTGTGTGTGTGTGTGTGTGTGTGTGTGTGTGTGTGTGTGTGTGTGTGTGTGTGTGTGTGTGTGTGTGTGTGTGTGTGTGTGTGAGGCTTGAGTCTCGGACTACCTTGAACAACGTGCAATAAACCCTTTTTAAGAATAACAAGGCAGTGTAGAAAGATTCCGTGTGTTGAAATCTCACAGAACTGTCATCGTAACGATGCTGCCGTAACCGAAGTTTGCCGGCTTCCTCGCAGCCAAATCAATGGAATAAGCTGCCAAACTGAGATCAAAGACTGCAGCTTTGTCCTGTGTCAAGGTTAAATCCAATAACGCTAAAGCGTAGACTCGTGGGCCTCGCAAGACTCTCGGGCTGAGCCAGACTGGATCAGAAGAATGACTCACCAGTTTGGTACAGAACAAACTGCATGCCGACCATGTAATCCCTCAGCCTCTAGTTAACAGGGAGTCTATGGCAGCACTGAGGCAGAGCACTGAGTTACATAATCAACAGAAGAGTTTGTGCGCCCCCGTGTCTTTGCGTAGCAGCAGTTTTTCTCACTTTGATGGTGAGCCACACCGAAGACATGTGGAGCTGCAGGTCCACGTTTCAACTCGCTTGTGTTGTTTGAGTGTGTGACAGACGAGATGGTTATGTTTACAAGGTAAAAAAATGGATCTATGTTCAACTGAAGCAGTGCATGTGAGTCTATGGGTGTTGTTGTGCTTCTTGTATTCTGTTGTTGGCTTCCATGCTCGCAATTCTGCAGCCTCCTTTGCGTTTGAGCCATGCTTATGCAATAAAGCTCCCCTAGTGGTGCTTATTTGCATGTGCATTGCTTTGCATTTGTATTTATGTATGTATAAATACATATCCATGCTTTTGTGTGTGTGCGTGCATGCGTGCGTGTGTGTGTGTGTGTGTGTGTGTGTGTGTGCGTGCGTGCGTGCGTGCGTGTGTGCGTGCGTGCGTGCGTGCGTGTGTGCGTGTGTGTGTGTGTGTGTGTGTGTGTGTGTGTGTGTGTGTGTGTGTGTGTGTGTGTGTGTGTGTGGTGATTTCTTCTCACCGGCATTAGAGAACCTCTCCAGCTCAACGCTGCCATCTGGCTTTGGCTCGCACCACCACAGACATCCTGTGGGAGCTATCCGAGCGAGTCAGCGTCTGCTTTTAACAACTGTTCTGGGATCGGCCGTCCACTGGACTGGTGCTAACTCACCCCCATTATGAGCAGGATGATAAAACTGACCTTGAAGCAGTTATGGGCCCAAGATAATGGAACGCACTGATAGAGAGCCCATGAAACAGCACTCAGTTTTCTGTGACAAAAGAAAATAATGGTTTAACCGCATCACATCATTCTGAGCAGCATTTAAAAATTCATAAGCAAGACGGTTTTTGTGTGTGTGTGTGTGTTGTTTGGCGTGCTGGTGCTCAACTAGTGGAGAAATTACAGGATTCACTCATTCTACTTACTTGAAGAAAATGAACCCATAGTCTGTTTCTGCTCGTCACATCTTCAAATAACCTGAAGGAGCAGAAGTGTAGGCTTCAGGACTCTGGTCCATGAAAAACTCCAGGTTCAGATCTGCAGTTGCAAATAAAACCAACAGCAGAGGAACACAATTAGGTCAGACTGAGGCCATACCATTTGTATGGGTCATGGTAAAAGTGCTCATATGTATGCAGGTTTATGGGCCCCCTGAGAGCACTGAGCTGACCTTGTACCACGCTGATCTATGTCTCCGTCTCCCCCTGTGCCCTCTTCTCCTCATTCCTCCTTCTCCTGTCGCTCCTCCCCTTCTCCACCACATTTCTCTCTTCTCGATCACCCGCCTCACACACTTCACCCTCTTTTCATCTGTTCTTCTCTGGCTTCCCGTAATCGACTCTTTTCCTCCAACTTTTCCTCATTCTTAACTCCCTTTCTTTCCACCGCTCATTCCCCGTTTTCTTTATCCCCCATTCGCCCGTTTTCTATATCAACAGTCAGTCTGATAAATAATGCATCACAGCACATTAAAAACATTAGTAGGGTTCTCGTGGCTGTCAAAAAGAGAAGGAGGAGATGAGGGAGAGGAGGGAAGGCGTAACTCCATTTTAAATAAGTGTTGTGCTGAATGATGGGATTTAATATCAGCAGCTGGAGGGAAAGGGGTGAAGGTCTGAGCTTTAACTGTCAAATGCTTTAATTTATTTATTTATTTGGGGCAATCGCCCAAAAGCCTTTATGCAGATGCACAAAGAATATGGCTTTGTCAGCAAACTCAAAAGGGAAAATATTTAACAACATTTGGCTAAATGCTATCTTTGCGTCACACAGAACCTTGACCTTTTCTCTTTTTTTAATCCTTCACGTTCCCCATCCTCCCCTCTTCTCTCATTCCATCCCTCCTGGCAGCGTGGCGATTGGCATTATTAAAAATTGATTGGCGGAGAGCGTTTAGCAGGGCGGCGGGGCGGAGAGGAGAAATTTGACAGGCAGGAGTGAAATGAAAGGAGAGCCTCAGTGGACACAGTGTGGAAAGGTCTCTTGTGTTTGTGTGTGTGTGTGTGTGTGTGTGTGTGTGTGTGTGTGTGTGTGTGTGTGTGTGTGTGTGTGTGTGTGTGTGTGTGTGTGTGTGTGTGTGTGTGTGTGTGTGTGTGTGTGTGTGTGTGTGTGTGTGTGTGTGTGTGTGTGTGTGTGTGTGTGTGTGTGTGTGTGTGTGTGTGTGTGTGTGTGTGTGTGTGTGTGTGCGTGCGCACAAATGCTCAGATGTATATTTGCTACAAGTAGATGACTCTAAACAGAAAGCATGTGATTGGTTTGTGTGTGTGTGAGTGTGTGAGTGCGTGCGCACATTTGTGCATGTGCGCATACATGTGTGCATGCATGCGTGTGCGCACATACATGCATGCATGAGTGTGTGTGTGTGTGTGCGTGCGTGGGTGCGTGCGTGCACACACACACGTGTGTTTGCACATGTGCGTGCGTGCATGTATTTGTGTGTGTGTACGCGGCGTGTACATGTGTGTGTTCAAACCCACACATTCAGACACACAAAGGTTCCTCATCTACAGAATTCTGATGGTGCACAATGTTGACCCACAGTTTTATCCTCCCCATTCTCCCTCTATCATTATTTTTCTTCTTCTTTCATCCCCCTCTCCAACCTTCTCTCTCCCTTCATCTCAGATCAAATAATATTTCCAAACCAGCTATTCCCCCATTGGCTATAAGTGCTGCAGCTTTGGAGATTTTCAATACACTTTAACTGTAATTTGTCTGAGTGATTCTAAAAAAAGTTTTTTTTCCCGAGCAGCGTAAAAAGCGTGTGCCATTACACGATGCTAACCACTCTCTTTGTCTCTTCTTTGATTCCCTCTCTTTTCTCCCAGATGAACAGACCAATCCAGGTGAAGCCTGCAGACAGCGAGAGTCGAGGAGGTACTGTATGACCCGTCTTTACTTCTTCATCACCCTCACCTCTGCTGCCTCTCTTTGTCCCAGCCCTACAACCCCACTGCCTGTCTACATCAGCCTCACCATTATCTGTCCCACTGCACGGTGCCCCGCACCTCGACGTAGGCTGACAGCCCAGCCTGGCTGGACCCTGCAGTATTCAGAACACATTATGTAAACAGAACTCTTCCTAGCTGGCTCAGCCTTTTGCGCTCCTGTTTCGTCATATGCAATGATGCATGTATGTGTACAGAAATGTGCACGCCCGTGTCATGCTTAAAGAGAAAACAAGTGTTGGGTTTTTTAGGAGAGGGTTTGTGTCAAACACACGTTTTGTCTCAAGCAAACAAAACGAGCTGCAGTTAAAATCACAGCTTAGTGTGAGTGAAAGTGGACGTCTAGTCCGGTAATTTTGGGGCGCACTTTGCTTTATTGACAGCTGAGATTGCTTGAAGGAAATGTTCAGTGTCTAGACATACAGTGACCCGCTCCTGACATCAATCAACGGGCTACACAAGATAAAGCAGTTTGACCATTTTTGAGCACTTCAGACTCTCTGGTTGTTAATATAATTGGAATCTATTCTATCTTCTAGAAAAAGATGTGGGGGAAAATGTAGGAAGAGAGCATACAAGTAGCAAAAGGTTGATGAGCAGTAGACATGTAGAGAGAGAGAGGTGTTACCTTGTAAAAAAAAAAAAACTTTGAAGGAAAGGAGAAAAAAGGGTGTGCGGCATGCTCCTCTTTTTAGTCATCTGGATTTTAAGAGTGTGATTGATGGGGCAGAAGAAAACCAGAGCGTGCACTGACTGTGAGGAGGCAAGGTGCAAGACATGCATATGCATCTTTGTTGGAGGTCTTTTTTCTTCTGTATGAATATCCTCACTTCTCACCTGTCTGTACAGTTAATGTGAAACACAGGTGAAATGAACTACGTGATTGAAGGAAAAATTTCCAGATGCAAGGCAATTCCTTGGAATAATTCTCTCTCACTTAAAGCTGGAGCTGTTTTGGTCAGATCTGGTAGATAACCACCTTCTAGCATGCTAGCTAGCTATTTCCTGTAGCACGGGAGCTATCGGCCAGTGCCCCAGAGACAGTGAATTTAGTGATGATTGGTCAAAAAATAATTCAGTTCTCCTTAGCAACCAAATGTGCTTTATCCAGCTCCCCAGGGGCCTCATTTATCAATTGTGCTTACGAACAGATCTGTGCGTAGGAACTTGTATACATATTGCGTGGTGGGTTTTCTGTACTTGTGCGTGGAAATGTTCCTAAATGTAAAAAAAACCTCGGACCACACGTACTAACAGCCTCTAGTGGTAGAAGGGAGCAACCGCAAGGTCTCTGTCATCCACACGTTTCCCATTGAAATGTAATACCAATGCCCTATACACTGGCACAACTGGTTGCTGTTGCGGGTGGTGGTCTTTACGTGTGTTTAAAAGAATTGCAGCTTGTGTTTATTTCCGATGATGTTTATTATTTCGTCTTGTTCCAAAATGTCCATGATCCATTTACAGCAGTTAAAGTGGTTTTCAGTGAATGCGTTACTTGCCCCAATGACAGTCCGCAGAGTCCGTTACACACAGCCACAGTCCTCGCCACACAGTAAAAAACTGTTTGTCCCATCCAGCAACACCTGAGTCCAATCTGTGTTGGCTTAAGTAGGCTGGTGCTTCCACAAGCAATTAACCAATAACATGAGGCAAAGCCTCCTCTCAAGTGCGCAAAAAGAAATGACACATATTTCGGTGGAAAAACAGTTGTGTCACATAATTGGTGCTAAAACCTATAAAAGACGCTTGTGACTGATATTGTAACATGACTGATCTTGTGTTATTGGGAGGATTTGGCAGAGTCCGGAGGGACCGCGTCCTCCATGAGCGCACTGATCTGATTCCTGAAAGACATCCTTCTGGAGCTATGCTGTGATTTGATTGCATTCCATATTCTATTTGACAACTAGGAGAACCCTCCAGAACTTTCTCTGCTCCTCGATCATACACGCTGTGTTGTCAAGGTAACCAGACTGAATAACAGCTCAGAAGAGGCTGCACCCTCAGACAACATTGCCAAATAAAACTAACTCCAAACAGCATGACTCCAAATGTAAAATGTAAATGACAACCCGTTAATCAACAATTTAGCGAGGGCCTCGATCTTGCTGTCAATAGTATTTTTTGGGGGGGGGACCAAAGAAATCTGAGGATGAAGGATGACCAAACTTGGTTAGTTGAGAGTGTTTCTGTTTGTAAATCACTGTGAATGGATACAAGCACCTGAGTATGCCCAAAGGTAGGATTTATCATCAGATGATTGCAGAGGATCATGCATTTGAGAGGTCACCGCATATTTCATAAATCAGGATTTTGAATTTTTGTATGAACTTTCTAAATGTCCTTCATAGAAAGGAGTAAAGGAATAGTTCTATCAATGTTGATAAAGGAGGCCCCAGTCAAAAATATTACCGGCAGGCAATTATTATTAGTATTATTATTATTATTATTATTATAAGAGCATATGTGACATTTATCTGTTGCAGCTGGTCAAACAAGAGGAATGTTTTAATATTTCATACACTGTCACATATTTCATCCAGGGGCGTCTATTTAGCAGAAAGAATGGGCCGTAAAACACATTTGAGCAGGGAGACTGTAATTAAATGCAGTGTGGGGAACATTTTTTGTGAAACAGTAAGTGATTTTTCCTTCTTTGAGATTCCTTATTTAGAACAAAAAAAGTCCTAAATCATTAAAATCTGTCCAAATATGCTCAGTTGATATATGTTCTAATTACAATAAATGCATGCAAAACTGTTGACGCATAAAGATTAGTTGCAGCGTGGAACCTGATGAAGGGTATAATTTAAGAAAGCCGTGTGTGTGTTTGTGTGTGTGCGTGCGTGCGTGCGTGCGTGTGTGTGTGTGTGTGTGTGTGTGTGTGTGTGTGTGTGTGTGTGTGTGTGTGTGTGTGTGTGTGTCGGTATGGGTGAGAACACTAAGATGAGCCTTCAGAGACTGACATATTAATAGTTACATCAGAGGATAAGAGGGTTTGTTTGCTAAAACTCAGGTGATACAGACAAAAGGAAAGGATGTGGAGGAGTACTATTTGGTAAAATAAAAAGAATGTGTTTTACCTTCCAGATTGCTTTGAAAAAACAAACAAATGGGTTTTTTTCAGCAGAATATTTAAAAGCTTTAAAAAGATGACAGAATACTATTATAATGCATAAAACGTATTTTAAAGGGGCAAAAAGGTACATTTTGTATGGGTTCCATTGAGAAGCATTGTTCAGAGGATTAAAGAAGACATGCAAAACTCCCCTTTTTTCATATTTAATGCTGCCATGTAGGCCTCTCCTGCCTCTATAAAACACTCCAAAAGCAAAAAAAAATGTCCATCAATTTTCTGTCAGTCTTTGGTTTTATGAATTATATGCTTAAAACAAGCTCCCCATTTGTGATGTCACAAATGGGAAAATTAGAATAGAACCACCACTCACATGAGATCTGCTGCAGGAGGAGCAGAGGAACTTACTCCAAGCCCCTTCCAGATCTCAGAGCTTCTCAACTTACTGTATAGCAGCATGCACGAGGGATGGGTGGCGTGGTCAGCTTTAGCTTGTTTTCTTAAATTGACACATTCTAGAAGGAACTGAAAATGTCAATAATGAAACTGCTGAAATGGCTTTTTGTGAGAGTGCAAAGAAAATGTTTTTATAGACTATTAAGCTATTATAGCTTCACTCATTCGCTGCCAGCCATTTCCTGATCACCAAAGCCCTTCGCTGCCAGCGTTTCCCACCGTTTTTACTGTTTTTAAGAGTCACAGAACATTGCGCGCTAGGATGATGTCGACGCCAAAACAACCAAAACAAAGGGGAGACTCGCCTCTTACATCAGGAAGAATCCGCGTGTTTCGAGCTTTATCCATTCCTTCGTAATCCGTTGTTGAATTGTGATCGGCAGACGCTTTTCCGGTTCGCTCCTCACTTTTTTTTTACAGCAGCAGCCCAAAGCGATCTCCTAACACATGGATTTTCTGCATCCTGATCATGTGATCTGTGACGTATGCGGATGAAGATCGGCTTCAGAGCTGAGATGTTTGTTCTCTCAGCGCGGGGGCTCGTTCTGATGCCCAAACAGTAAAAAAAAATGCAAATGACGATGGCAGTGAATGGTTGGATCTAAAATGACGACTTTAGTTGTCAATGGCAGTAAATGAGTTAAGAAAATATGCCCCCTTTAAACATTATTATAACTAATTCATGAAACCAAAATCAAATGTTGGCACATGAGTAGAAATGATTTTTCCTTCTCTTTAACATCGTTCAATAGATCAGTGAAGATAAAATCTCATTCTGTGATGAAAAGGAGCAAAGTCCTACCTGAAACACTTCTGAGGTATTTCAGAGGACCTCTAGTCCACCACCGGGTTTGGCAGCTGCGGGAGATCAGGATGATGTTGAGATGGGTCGAACATTTTAAGATTTGTGTGCACGCATGTGTCCTCCAACACCGATGCATGCTACACTCTTGTAAACACCCGTCATACCAACCCACCCCCATCTCGGTGCAAGGCCGGAGCGCAGATTAGTCTTGTTGACTCGGCAAGGACACCCTGTAAAGCACAAGCGGTTCGGAACAGACCCTCAGCCCCTACACACACACTCATACACACTCACGCAAACCCGCATCTGCTCTCACACATTAATTTGCAGAGAGCACATTTACAGGCAATTGCTCTGAGGCTCATTAATTTCCAAACATATACATCCATTTCCACAAATATTAGACTTTATGTAACGGGAGAAAAGAAAGCAGCTGTGGTTTTCGGCACATGTTCCTTGTGCGCCTCACGGTTCCTCTCTAGCTCTGATTCAGTGAAGCAGCGACTCTGAGGTGGCCGTCGCTGACCTGATGCTGAACTTCAGTCCTCCTGTATTTGATTTTCATTAAATTTTAGCCACTAATATTTTGTATAGGATGTAATTTTGCTAAATAATTTAGAGAAATTATCTTTTTTTTCTTTCTTGCTTGACATGAGGTCAAAGGTTTTATTTACGCCTACTTCAGAAGGTTTGCGTGTTCATAGACTGATAGAGCTTTTGGGACAGGAAAGCAAAATGATGTTATTTTCCTTAGATTTTTACCAAACATTAATAAAAAACTAATGTCTATTATCTAAATTGGACTAAATGTCCTTCTAAAACTGCATCCTGCTGCATCTGCAGTTTATATCCTCATCTTTGCACATTTTCAAAGTAGCTGAATGTTATTTCAACAACTGCAAAAATATAATATTGAAGAGAAAAAAATTGAGGAATAAACTTTGCCTAGATTCTGATGACTATGGCCTGAGGACACACACACACACACCGATACATCTGTCTTGTCTCCTGTCTGACACCTTTCAATAGGCACAATTTCTCATCTACAGGAAGTGGATTCCTCTGATTCCAAGAAAAAAATGTCAGATTGGTGTGACAAGTTAGACACATGAATTGTGAGAGATACCATTTTCAGTTTCTATCACATCAGGGTTCTTTATCTCGGTCTTGGATGTTATATTCAAGAAAGGAAACCTCCAACCTAAAGTATTCTCCCATAAAAACTAGATCGCTTATACTCACTGGCCTAAAAGATTTACTCATTCAAAAAACTCACAATCAATAAGAAAAAGTTTTGTTTGAAAGGATGTTTGTTTTAGACCTTTTTGAAAAGTGATTCTGGGTAAAAGTAATAAATGATTGCCGTCTGATCCTGTATCTGAACAGCCTCAGTTCTTAGAAGTAGAGTTTGTATCGTTGGGCCAAGTTTCCTGTTTATTCCCCAAAGTTCTGCATCATCATCATCATCATCATCATCATCATCACAGAGGCCTCATAATTTTAATTTTTCTCGTTCTGAATGTATAAGCAGCAGTAATGACGAACTTTAAGTTCATCAAAAATCATCGTGGACAGAACATCTAGTAAACAAATTAAAGGTACGATAATATTTGTAAAGTGAAATAATCACAAAACTAATATCTCAATCGTGTTGGAAAGAAGGTTACATTGAAACAGATTTCTTTTTCAGCCAGGTGGGGGGGGGGGGGTCAGTTTTTCTCCTTTTAAAAAGGCCAAAGAAGGAACGTAATCTTTGTTTACGATCTTTCCCACCTCAATACTTATTGGTTCCATAGCCAATCATATCTGAGCTTGAGGAGTTGCTGAGTCACCACGTTTTGGAAAGAATGTTAGTCAGTAACAGCAGTGACCCAGAAGTTATGTCTTGTAACCCTCAGAAGCCACGGCATCCTTCTAGTTTTACTCTAAAATCGGGTAAAGATGGCTAGAGGCTAACAATGAGCTAACAATTCTTAACGATGAAGTAGCAACTAATAGTTTGTCACGTTTTGAGGATGTTAGGACCCAAATATGCAGCAACCCAGGATGACACGTGGCAGGAGATGATGTAAGGTAAAGTCCTTTACTTGTGAAGGATGAACAAAAATAAATCCAGGCAGCGAGCCTAAAGTCCAAAAACTCCAAGGTTGGAGAAACAAAGCTCACCAAGAGAACGAACAAACGCTGACAGAATACAAACACAATGGACCGACACAAGACAAAGACAAGACAGGGCTTAAATAAACTGGGAGGAACAATTAGGGAAACGGGAAGCAGGTGTGTGGAGTGAGGGCTGGAGGGAAGACAGGTGACAACAATTTATCTAAATGGGGAAGCAGAACCAAAGGAGGGCAGATAAACACAACACTGACTAAAAGACTGAGGAAAGGACTCACACACACACACACCCAAATACACTCACACACACTGAATTGGGGAATGGACACGCACACACACACACACACACACACACACACAAACACACACATACACTCACACACGCACACTGAGTTGGGGAATGGACACGCACACACCCACAACAGACACAGAGCTGGGGACAAAGAGGCTGGAGCTACAACTGGAGGGGATGGGGATGATCGAATGCCTACAAACAGAAAATACATAAATGAGACGCAGACAAAGGACACATGAGGGCGCTATGAGACACAAAAGGGAATCCAGCAAGGGATGGAGGACACCAGGATACACATAAAGGAGGGGGCAGACGCAGACCATGACATAGTTGTCTAAACATATCTCAAGCTTCTTTTTTGTGTTTCTGTGTATGACTCGTCTTTTTCCGTTATCTAGAATCTTCAGGCGCTGATCGCTAACTAGCAACAGTTGCTCAGAGCGGATGTTTGTTTTGACACATGCACTGCAGTACCCGCATTTGACCACAAGATGTCATTCTTACTTCATGCACTTTTAACATAACATCATTTATAAACTTTTGTTGTTAGAGGCAGAGCTGAGAATCAATGGAATATCCAACAGGATTAAGACTTTTTAAAACATAAATAGAGCAAAGATAACAAATATTTTTTGCATCACATCCTGTATGAAATCCTGGGCTGTAGCTACAGCTCTGATTGTTTTTTTCATGTGTTCCAGTGTCAGAACAAATATGCATCCATCTGAAGTGTCTCTGAGCCTCTCATGATGTCCTCCTTTTCCTTTCAGAAGACAGAAAGCTCTTTGTGGGCATGCTCAACAAGCAGCAGTCAGAAGACGACGTGCGGCGCCTATTTGAGTCCTTTGGCAGCATCGAGGAATGCACCATCCTCAGAGGTCCCGATGGAAACAGTAAAGGTAAGTTTACAGCTGCCTGTGACTTTTTCAGCTTGAAAAGTGTCATAGTAAGCTCTTTTTCACCCATCAGAGAAATTAATACTAAAACGCTGTTGCTTCTGTGATTTTTTTTTTTAGAAAATATTTCGTAAAAGCTATGTTCAGAAGCAAAAGATCTAAAGTGCCAACGTTCTGCTAAAGAACCCCATTAACCTCATGAGTCAACTTCTAATTTCTGATTTAAAAAAAGAAAAACTAAATCTCCTTATTAACCGCAGGGCTTCATGTCACAGCTGAAAAAAAAATCCCTTCAAACTGTTGTCAGGGTGCTGCACAAGTTCACAGCCTGAAGTTCATCAGAGGGCTTAACAGCCAATCAATGAGGCCCGATGATAACTAAGCCTGATGATTACAGTGTGCTTGATCATTCTGATTCCTTGGTAAAGCTCCATTAACAAAGCTTCATCATCCAGCTTACTCAGCTAAGTGAGCTCAATAATTACTGGGAACTTGATCATTCAAATCTATCAATGACACTTGTCAATAGGAAGTGACACCAGACGGCTTTGGCATTTTCAGCCCCATCCGAAGATTTCCAGGTTGTTAATGGGGCCAGAGTAGCTTTTTTAGCCCCTTTATTGACATCCGATACAAGCACCCAGAGCCGAGACGGCTGTCTTTACTGAGCTTGAGTAGCTACTTTAAATCTGACAGAAACTTTCTTCTTCTATTTGGTGTTAGAACTTTTTGCCTTGTGTTCTCTCTTCCCCTGTTGTCTCCCAGACTCATTTCTTCTTCTGTTGTTTTTTTTTTTTCCTTTAGGCTGTGCGTTTGTAAAATACTCCTCTCACGCTGAAGCTCAGGCAGCCATCAGTGCACTACACGGCAGCCAGACAATGCCTGTGAGTATGTCATAACTGTGAAAGAGAAAGTAGGTGTAAAAAGGAGGTGAGTCACATGGAGAAATTAGTCAAATAGCATTTAATTGCTTCCTTAAAGTTAACTTAGAATTTATTATTCAAATGTATCCTTTAGACATGACCCATACTGTTGGTTTTTGTTTTGTTTTTATGGAATGAGCACAAGCTGTGGTTCTGAGGCAGGAAGTATAAAAGTTAACGTGTGTACAGCATGAGTGCAAGGATAGATAAAAGCTCGTGTCCCTCGTCTATCGGACCACGCTGACATGTAATACTGGGCGTGTGTGTGTGTGGGCGAGCAGGGTGCCTCGTCCAGTCTGGTGGTGAAGTTCGCTGACACGGATAAGGAGCGCACCATCCGCCGCATGCAGCAGATGGCCGGTCAGATGGGCATCTTCAACCCCATGGCCCTGCAGTTTGGAGCCTACGGAGCCTACGCTCAGGCAAGTGCCACAGAGCCTTTTTTTCTTTTTTTCATCCACAGTTATTTTTCACAATGAGATTAAACGGTACGCTAAAGCCTAGCTGGGATATAAAAGTACTAACAAAAGAGGAGAAAGAGGTCATGTCAAATTTTCAAGTTAATCTGAAATATAAAAATAATATGAGGAGCACACATATTCTGTTAGAGTCAATACCTGGTTTCTATCTAATAGCCTCTATTTCTTGTCTCTGTGCTGTACCTCATTTCACTTTATAGCCCTACTTCTTCCTTTTATCTGTCTTTCTCATCTCAGTGACCTCACGGACGACGGCTTTCCTTTTATTACTTTCTGCTCACCGTCTAATCCCCCCCTTTCGCTCCATCTGCAGGTGCAGCAGCAGGCAGCGCTGATGGCATCTGTGGGTCAGGGCGGTTACCTCAGTCCCATGGCAGCCTTTGCTGCAGCCCAGATGCAGCACATGGCCACCATCAATGGCCTCCCAGGAGCACCGTTGACCCCCACGTCAGGTAATGGCAGTCAAAGGTCAAAGGTCTGAGGACTATGGGGAGTACTTCCATCTACCATGTAGGTGCCACATAAAGCAATGCTTGGGCTAGCAGGGCTTAGGTTTTTATTATTTATACAGAATGTGTGTTATTAACTTGGCTGAAACTGAAAACACGGCAACTTTAAAGGGATTTTTAGACCATTTTAAAGTGTGTGGATGTGGGTTCATTGAGAAAAGCTATGATGTAGCAACAAAACTGCTCTAAATCGGATTGCTGCAGTCTTGAAACAACCACAGTCCATAAAATTCACAGAGGTTCAAGCAAATGTTTTTATTAACTTTTGCACTGCTGTTAATTTCACTTAGCAGTTATTTTTGACTGAAATCTTCCTATGTGAATGCACAAGAGGTGCTACATTTAGCTGCTGCTGGTGATGTTTTCACTCGTGATGAGGTGCAAAACTGGTGTGTAAAGGTTTATAAAACAATGCTGATGCTGTAAAACTAGAAGATTTGAGCTGTGTTAAAAACACACTTTGGTTTTGGCTCCTTTACCAAAAACATGTATGTGGAAATCAAACGTGGCATTCTTGACATTGTGAAATTTGTCCAACATATTATTTTATGATCCCCTATGGTCACACACTTTTCTACATGACATCATGTTTTATTCATGTGTTTTCCACAAGGATAGTCCTGATCTCCAGTTCTCTAAACAGAGGCTGTCCAGCAAGTTTCCTGCAAATTTTCAATTTTAAGCTCAAAGAAGTATAACTTTATATGCCATGAATTATATTCAATTAAATTCAAGTTTATTTATATAGCGCCAAATCACGACAAGAGTTGTCTCAAGGCACACAGTAAACATTCCAATCCAGGTCAGTTCATAAAGCCAATCAGTAAAAAGTTTCCTATATAAGGAACCCAGCAAATTGCATCAAGTCACTGACTAGTGTCAGAGTCTTTACAGCAATCCTCAGCATGTAGCGACAGTGGAGAGGAAAACTCTCTTTAAACAGGAAGAAACCTCCAGAGGATCCTGGTTCAGTATAAGCAGCCATCCGCCACAACTCACTGGGGATCGAGAAGATAGAGCAGACTCACACACATTGTATTTAGAAGTGAATCTATAATTAATTCAACAGGTAAACTAGTAGTAGCACATTCAATGTCAAAGAAAGTAAAATGTTATTATCAGGAGAGGGAGAATGTTTAAGTGGTTAGCAACAGTGTTCAAGCCGATGGCCTCCATCATGAGGCTACCACAGCTCAGCAGAACTTAGGGCTCGGCAATAAATCGAAAATGTATCGTTATCGAAATTTCTGACTCTTATTGTGATAATTTTTCCCATGTCAATAAATGTGATAGTAAAAAAATGAAAATGAATAAGGACACCTTGCACCCCTTATTGGAATCATGTGATTGAAGTGTGGAAGTGTGGAAGTGTGAGAATGGGGATTGAGTCTTAGACCTGCTCCCATGTATTTTAGACCTGATTTTTATGGTTATATATTACGAAGCTGCCAGAATTTTTCAACAACTGGGCATCATTTCATTAATTTTCAACAATGTTTTGATTCCAAAGATTAATGGTAAAACCTATGCGTTGTCTTTTTATTAAAGGAATTTGTAAATATTTTTGTTGGAACGTTGCCCCTCCAGCTGTTTATCAACAATGTCAAAAGGTAATAGCAGTCAGGAGCAGCTGTGTTTATGCTCTGGTCATTATCGTTCATAGAAAATCAGAATTAGTTTAACCTTTTGCATAAAGTATAATGAATTATGAACGCTTGAACATATCGCACCAACTATAATGTGTCTTTCACTAGAAACGTTTCCTCATAATATGATTTACTCCTGCATGGATCCGTAATCCCTTGTGTTCTCTAAATTTAAGCAGTAAATAATTAATGTTGGAAAAATGTGATTAAATAGGATGAAATGCTTTTTCTACTAGCATCATCAAGGTCATTTTAAAATAAAAGTAATAAAAGTTACAATAATGAATGAATGTGGAACAAGAGGAGGAACTAAGTAAAGTGGATTACTTTAACCACCAATAATCTGTCCTGTAATTATCATGCAAAGGAGTGCAAATGAAAAATGAAGCTGTGAGTATTTCGGGGAATTTTTCGTGCCGACAGTTTTTACTGTTATACAGTACAGCGAATGAGATTCAGAGCTATGGGCCGTGGTGTTGCCCCCTCATTCCTCCCCCGGATGCTTTAGTGGGACGAGAAATCAGCCCTGACATTTAGTGTCTCCACCGGCCCACTGGACCAGCCCCTCTGACATTTGCCAGAGTGGCTATAGGTGGCCGGTTGAAGTAAAACTTTTCCATAATGTCTTGTAGAAAGAAAAATCCATCAGGGTGGTGCTCACTGTTACTGTCTGTCTCCATGTCCGCAGGAGGCAGCACGCCCCCGGGCATCAGCGCCCCCACAGTGACCAGCATCCCTTCTCCCATCAGTGTAAATGGTTTTACTGGCATACCGCCACCCCAGGCAAACGGGCAGCCACCTGCAGAAGCTGTGTTCACCAACGGGATACATCATTACCCCGGTAGGTTTGATAAATTCAGGAGCATGTGTGCACAGGAGAAATGAGCCTTTGGAGATAAAAAAAAAAATACGAATGCAACTTTGTGAGAGTGTAGCGCTATGGCAACACATTTACTGGAAAAGGAAAATCGTGCATGCTGCTGGTTTACTGATCTGATTGAAGCATGCTCAGGGTCCGAGGATAAAATACTGCCTCACTTAGAGAGCGAGCATGTCGGAGAGATGAGCGTCTCATGCAGGTTCTCACCGTGCTTCTGAAGCTTGGATATGTGCTTGTGACATGAGCCGTAGCCAGTGCTTCATTGGTTCTGCTCCTGAAGAGGTGGAAGAAAGAAAAGAAGAAAACACAAATCTGTACTGTTTTTTTTTTTTTTTTTTTACATTCTTGTCTCCCCAGTGTTGCAGGAGGTGGTTTTTAGGGAGGACTCAGAGAAAAACGGCTTGGGCGTGGCTCCTCGGAGTTGTTTTGGGGTTCAGGGTGGCTGCTTCCTCTCCTCTCTCTCTGAAGGTAGCGCTCTTCCCCCCACCCCACCCCACCCCTTTCCCAACACCCTCATCCTATTTCTCTTTGGGCTCAGGAAGGTTTCTAGACCTGTGAGATAATATTAAATTAACACATCAAAGCCATTTTTAAATGTGTGGAGGAAACTAAAGGAGAAAATGAGTCAAATCTGAAAGAAAATTTGACTGATCTTAGAAGATATTATTATTTGAAGATATTATTTTCTGTTTTGCATTTTCTTGGTCAAAAGTGCTTAAAAATTTTTGAAAAACAAAGCAAATAACTGAGTTTAGCCTCATTTTAATACAGCCACTTAAAAGGTAGTTACGTGAAAATGAAAAAGCAACATTCAGGCCTTTCAGAAGAGGTTAGACTCAAAATTCCAAAGTCTGATCCATCCATCATGAGCACCGACCTGGGAGTAACCTCAGCTCATGCTTCGGGCAGGAATGTATCACGGGTTGGAAAAAACAACCACTAAAATAAGATTTCTGACTCTGTAACTTTTCCAGAGGTCTATTTTAGTCCTCCTTCCTTCTGGCCATCTGTGACTGTGTGTCTGCTCGACAGTGTGTTCAGTATCTCTCAGTTCTTTCAGTCGCATTGGGGTTGTCGATGTGTACGTGGTCACTGGTGTGTTTTCTCAGTGGTGTACTTTCTGTGCATGTTTATGTGGAGCCAGTGTGGAGAAGCTTCCATCCCAACGTGCAGATGCAGGACTTGTCTGTGGAGTAACGAGTGTTGTGCTGTGTGAAGAATTATTCATGGTCTTGTCTAATGGTTTACAGCAGTTTTATTTCTGTTGGTTTTCTGTGAAAGTGGAGCCGTGGGGTGTTGTTTTTCCTGTTTTGACCTTGGTCTTCTTTAAAGTTGTAGTTTTTTAACTTTTGTGGATTTTTTTTAAAACAGCTCCTTTTGAAATGTTTTGGAAGGAGTTAAAAAGTTCTGCACACGGCCCTCTAACCTTTCTGTTCTTTCTTCTCTCCATTGCTCTCCTCCCGTTCACCCATCATGCCTGTCTTCCATCTACAATCTCCAACATGCACCTTCATCCATTTGTTCTCCTGTCCACCTCCTCCTCTTCCTCATGTTTCTCTGCTGAAGCAGCTCAAAGTCCCACTGCAGCCGATCCTCTCCAGCAGGCTTACACAGGAGTCCAGCAGTATGCAGGTCTGTCTGTCACTCACCTCTCAGATGATTTGTGTGTCTGCTTATATGCGCAGATGCACGTCTGCGTCCCCGAGAAATGAGGATAAAGATAAGCAATCTCTTGTTCAAATTGGAATTTCGATCATGTAAGATTCAGCCCTTTCTGTGGAGCGGCGTCGGTTTATTCTCTCCGCTGCATCGGCCGTGTGTTTGTGCAACACGTCAACTCCATTGTCTGTTATCTGATCGATCAGTGGCCGTGCTCCTGCATATATCACATTGTTTGTATGTATCCAAGTGTGTGCTGTAGTCATGACTGTTATCTGATACGAGGTGTGTGTGTGTGTGTGTGTGTGTGTGTGTGTGTGTGTGTGTGTGTGTGTGTGTGCGTGCGTGTGTGTGTGTGTGCGTGTGTGTCTCAGCAGCCTATCCAGCTGCATACGGTCAGATCAGCCAAGCCTTCCCCCACCCTCCACCCATTATTCCACAGCAGCAGCGAGAAGGTAACACACACACACACACACACACACACACACACACACATACACACACACACACACACACACACACACACACACTGCAAAAATATATATTTATTTATGCTTTGTTCGTATTTCTGGCTACCAGGGCTGTTTCAAAATAAACAACTGCCTTAAAATGACTTAAAACTTAAATACACACACACACATATGTCTATCTATCTATATATATATATATATATGTGTGTGTGTGTGTGTGTGTGTGTGTGTGTGTGTGTGTGTGTGTGTGTGTGTGTGTGTGTGTGTGTGTGTGTGTGTGTGTATACACACACACACACACACAAGAGAAGTTGTCACAGCTGATTTCTGGACCAAAGACAGTAGAAAAGCATGGTGATCAGATGTAGCTGTAAACTTGTTTGTGAACTCGATGACCCCCCACTGAGTCAGGGCCACTCATGTTTAGGACCTTACTGCCCTCTTGTGGCCAAAAACTCTGCCCGCTTCTTAGCAGGCTTTAGAAACAAAGAAACTTTTTCATGCTTTTGGTCGTTTGAGGACAAAGGAATACTATAAATGTCACTACAGGGCTGTTTTATTTTAAATTCAAACATTGCTCATAACAGGGCTCTGCTACAATGGCTCTGGAGCCACTTTTGGGTCCCCTGCAGAGGCTCTTCAAAGGTTTAACTACAGCATTTATGGAGATGAATCAAAGACACAGTGTAGTTTGAGCTGTTTTTCTGTTTGATTTTATACAAATGTATGGTTGAAATATCTGTGATAGGATGAAAATACTACAAAAGAAACACAGATTTGATTTTAGTCTTTCCCTTTGTCCCAACATTAAAATGCCAATGAAATTCAACTCATAAAAACAGGTTATATTTAGCAATATAAACATAATATCTCATAAAATTCTTATGTCACTTATAAGAAGCCAACAACATGCTCTTCTGCTCTCCGTCGTGTTTCATGGAATATTTTATTCTGTCTTGCTTTGCTGAATCTGTCTTGTTGGCCATCACACCTGTCTGTCTCTCTCTAACCTTTTCCCTCCACCGTCTCCCTTCTTTTCCGTCTGTCTCTCTGTCTCCATGCAGGACCAGAGGGTTGCAACCTGTTCATCTACCACCTCCCTCAGGAGTTTGGGGATGGAGAGCTGATGCAGATGTTCCTGCCTTTCGGTAATGTCATCTCCTCCAAAGTGTTTGTGGATCGGGCGACAAACCAAAGTAAATGCTTTGGTGGGTAAAAATGAACAAAACCAAAAGATTATTGGTTATTTATTTTTATGATTATTCTTCCTTTTGACTGATCACCTTTGTTGTACCACAGTCAACCTACCCCCACCCCTTCCTCCCCCACTGCTCAGCACCTTTCTTTTTTTTGGACGAAAAAAAAACAAGAGACATTTCTGTACAGTTTTCACACAAATGTTAGATACATAACAGCTGCTTTGATGTCTTGCTCTGTTCCCACTGACAGTGCCGTCGTTCTTGTAATTAAGAAGCAAATCTTAAATGGATGGTTGGGAATGTTTAACGGCGAGTCCATCACCAGCAACCCCATTTGCAAATTAGTTTTGACTCATTAATACGACACAACATGAATGTGTTGAGTTGCAGGATTTCGTTTTTGATTCGATGCCTACATAATCAAGTTAAAAAAGAAAACCCGAAAACGGCACGGCCATAATTATGTTTTGTTTCCAATTAAATCCTGAGCTCTCACTGTCGTGTCCGCATGTGATCTCATTGTTGGTGTTTTGGGTGTTCTGTCATTTTTATTACTGTGAACTGTTGCGTTATTTTAAACGTCATCCGTTGTTTTGTTGTAGATGTCTGTCGTTTTAAGTTCTATGTGCAAACTGGAAATTTGATTTAATGCCATTCCTACGTAGAGTAAGTGAAAATAAACTCCACCCCCTTTCAGCTGTTGAGCTTTTCTTACCAGGAAATAAAAAAATAATCACCCAACCTCCTGGTATTAAACTAGTTCAAATTTAACCTCAAGTGTAAAAAAACATTTAACAAATTCCACCATGTGATAATTAAATCAACAAAAACGAAATGATGATGCCGTGTGGAGAAACTCCACCTGTAGAACCACTCTCATCCGTAATAAGTTGAGGTGGTCTTTTTTTTTTTTATTTAATGTCACGTTTGACGCTAGAATACTTTGGCCTGCTGAAGACTTTATGGTGGACTCAATGGCTGCAAGAAGCCCAAATCATCAGCCCTCCACCGCTGTGCCGACAGCTGCTATGAGATGTTTCTGCTGGCATGCTGAGTGTAGTCGTTGCCAAACATGGTGCTGTGTATTGTGGCTGGCAGGGGCCTGTGGCGTCTGATGTGGAGCTCTTGGGTTATTACGGTTGTGCATGGTTCTCGAGGGCTGGTTTCCAGCATGTTTTAGTTGTTTTCATGCTCCAACACTCCTGATTCAGTGGTTGAATCACCCGTGCTGCAGCTCACCATGCTCTGCAGAAGCTTGCTTGTCACCTGCTGATGAAAATCAGGGGTGTTAAAGCAGGGAAGCAAATAAAATTTGCAGGATAGTGGCCCTGGGAGACCAGGGCTCCCCACGTCGGTCTTAGCAGTACACACAAAGGGCGTCTACGTGTGAATAATCCTTCTAGTTTAAAATATTATCTTATACAAAGACAAAGACCCAGGTTAGAAATCTTGGTGTCATAGTTGATTCAGACCTGAGCTTCACTGGTCACATTAAGGTTATAACTAGATCAGCGTTTTACCATCTTCATCAAATAGCAAGACTCAGACATCTCATGTCCAGACAAGACCTGGAGAAACTCACTCATGTGTTCATCTCCAGCAGGATGGACTATTCACTGATGGCTTTTGACTAGTCTTCCCAAAAGAGCTGTGAAACAACTGCAGCTCAATCAGAATGCTGCTGCTAGAGTCTTAACAAGAACCAAGAGAAGCAAGCACATCACTCCTGTTCTTAAATCTCTACACTGGTTACCAGTAAACTACATAACTGGGTTCAAAGTGCTTCTAGTTTATAAATAACTCAATGGCATGGGGCCAGAATGCATGTCAGATCTCCTTACAGTATTTATGCCCAGCAGGGCTCTGAGATCCTTAGAAAACAGTCAGCTGGTAGAACCTCGGGTCAGAACCACACAGGGTGAAGCTGCTTTTAGCTGCTGTGCTGGAACCCGCTGGAACCCGCTTCCTCATGACCTCAAATGTGACCCAACTCTAGTAAAGTAACTTTTAAATCAAAATTGAAAACTTTGATGTGCTCATCAGCCTTTGAATAAATGTTTTTTTATGCTGCACCTTCTGCACTGTAACTGCTCAGTCTTTAACTTTACCTTTGTGTTTTATTGCTTACATCTAATTTTATTTGTGTATTTTTAACTTTGATTTTATAATCTGCTGTTTTACGTTGTCGCATTGATTTTAATGTTTTTGCTGTTCTTGCTCCTGGACAACCCATTTAATTGCTTCTGTGTATGAAATGTGCTTTACAATAAAGCTGCCTTGCCTTGTTGTAGAATAACGGGCACCAAATAATGACCTTTCATCTTTCTGAAAATGATGTAACAGTTGCTTCTCTAAGTTCAATTTAAGGTTATTTCTCCTTTGTGTGAACACACACCTGTATGCTCCAGACAAGTAAACTAATCAAACTCCTGATTCGGTGGAGGTGGTCACACTAATCATCATCAGTTAATCTGTCATTTTGGTTTTTGTATAGGATAAAAAGTCATGGTAGAATGTGTTTACTTTTTGTCCACTCATGACTAGATTTGAATCACTTTAGAGCCTCACCAAGACCAGGTCATGTTTATCATGTCCTGACACGTAAAACTCAAAAGCTGAAAGAGGGCGGCTTTTCTTTTACTTTAAATCAAACTGTCCTTGACTCTTCATCTAACAGTCTTTTCCCCTGTCTCTCTGTTTTTTTGGCTTTCCCCTCAGGGTTTGTGAGCTTTGACAACCCAGGTAGCGCCCAAGCTGCCATCCAATCCATGAACGGCTTTCAGATCGGCATGAAAAGACTGAAGGTTCAGCTCAAGAGGCCTAAGGACGCCAACCGCCCCTACTAGCCACTGCCCCAGCCGGCCGCTGCCATCGTGGCGGGCGGGGCAGCCATCCTGCACAGGAATACAGGTCCGGTCATGAGCTCGGCGCTTTCATAAAGAGTTGTTTCAGTCTGAATTCTGATTAACTGATCGAAAGCATGGATGATCACAGTGATGTCACATATCATGTGAAACGCTCCTTCCAGCAGCTCGTTTACGGCAGGGCTTGATGTGTTTTCCATAACCTTTTATTTGTGTCGTAAAACACTCTCAGATGCCTAGTAATAACTTGATCATCTGTAAAATGCTTGTAAAGATTAGCGAAGTCTCACGCCTGTGACGACAGCTCAGGAATATATTTACAAGAGTGTGGCTCATTATAGTCAAAACTCGTATCACGCTAATTCACTCATGTGTTAAGAGGAGGAACACAAGAGAGTAGAAAAGGATTGTTAACGTAGAAACATGAAAAAAAAATTACCATTTGCCATTTTTTAAATCAGCTTTGCAAATCAGTCTACCTACAATGTTTTGGCTGAACAGATGAGTGTGTTTTAATGGCAAAAGCACTGTTTGTTTCCTGTTTTCAGAACATCTTTAGAGTCTGACCCTGCATGTTACCCTGTAGGTAAAAGATAATTGGTAAATGGTTCCGTGTGTTGCACATCTTCCAAGGGGGGAGGCATTTATTACCCCTCAGGCGGGTAATTGTGCCGTTCCTCTTTGTCTCCTCCCTTCATCTGTGTGATGGAGGGTTTGGGCCGTGTCGTTCATTCACTGCTGATGACTTCATTCAAGGGCAACTTATCACCCAATCATAAGCCAGCCGAACCGTACCAGTGTCCCGAAGCAAATCACTGCAGGCAAAAGATTGCATCCTCATAGTTTACCAAGGAAAGGTCTTTCTTCAGCAAGAAAACACTGTAACCTCCTTTCAACTTCATTTTCTTTCTTTTTCAGTGCATTGTTTTAAAACTAGATTTTGCTTTTTACCTGCAAAGAAAACAGACAGCTGGAAAACAAAGAAGGGTTTGGGTTTTGGGTGTGTCTTGATGATTATCCCCTCAAAAAAAAAAACAGGAATAAACATTTTTGATTTGAACAGAAAACAAAACATAATTGTTTTTTTCTCCCACTGAAGATTACAATTGTCTCTGTGCCAGGCAGCCAGATTAATTCAGTGCAGAATGAGCGCCGATTTGTTTAGTTTTTCTAAATTGTCTCAGCAAATTGATATTCGTTTACCCACCTTCAAAGCCTTAGCGCTGGCTAAGAAGCTTTAAAGAGCCAGGTGGACTTTACGTCTTTTGCCATCAAACATTAGCAAATTCCGATCTTGATTCAGAACATAACACATCCTCATTTTGAGCAGCAAAATATATTCTCGTGTTTACTTATTTAACTTACACATATTTGTTTCATGTCATTTGTTCTAATTGTAATGTTTTTCCTTTTAAAGGCTTATTTGAAACATTTTCTTTTTTTCTTTATTTGATCGGCCACTCTGGGTAGCACGTGCATGCTGAACGTGAACATCCTCTTCAACCCCTATCACCTGCATTTGCCACAGAAATGAAATCAGAATCAGAAAGGTTTTACACATGCTGCAGCTTCTTGTTGTCCCTGGTGGTAGCTCCAGCGTAACACATGGTGATTGAAGAGGTGAGGATGGACTCGATGGCTGCGGTGTGGAACCGCATCATCGACTGTGCTGGCAGGTTGAATTTCTTCAGCTGCCTCAGGAAGTACATCCTCTGCTGGGCCCTTTTTATGACGGAGGTGATGGTAGGCTCCCACTTGAGGTCGTGGGTGATGGTGGTACCCAGGAAGCGACATGCGTTCTCCGTTACTGACAGGAAATGATTCTGGTCAGATAAAGCCAGTCTCTTCTAAAATGTTGTGACGTACTAAGATCATGTTGGCTCCTGGGTATTGGTTTTGAGCCCAGGAGACAGCAGAGCACATCAGCGTTAGCAATTCCACAATATGGTGGAAACGTTCAGGCTTGTGTTATTTGTGAAACATCAATGTTGCGTTTTTTTACCCAAGAAAAAAAGAGCGAACAAAGGCAGCGGAAGAGTTGTTACCATTAGCCAATCAGAGGCGAAATGTTTGCATGTCATGAAAGGGGTCATGAACCCATTTTAATCCAGCTGATTCTACCCCCACACCTCTGACAACCTTCTACCCCCGAAACAGGAGCGCAAGAGCTTTGTTTTTACGCATCAAACAGCTAACTTCTGTAGATTACTTCATCTTTCCTCTGAACTTCTAATGTCCACTAGCCTGCAGCCAAAGGCTAGGAGGGAAGGGGATATTGTTTTTGCAATCAGTCAATCAAACTTTATTTATAAAGCACTTTTTCTACAAAGAATCAGCCATCAGTAAGAGCCTTGCAGATTAAAATGACCCTACATAACCCTCATTCCCATCCCTCCCACACCAATTTTAAAGCATTTGCACAGTAATACATTTAGGCGATAATAATTATGAATTTAATAATAAAACTGCTAAATAGTTTCCAAAACCGATGTGAAAGAACAGAAAAGATGCAATATATTTTGGCCGAGTGGTGTTATCATAGTGTAACGTCATCGGCAGGCGCGGGACCCCGGGCAGATCCAAAAACTACAATTCCAGAAAACAAGCACCAGCATTCTCTCCACCTTCAAAGTCTGAGGAGTCACACTGAGTTTAAATGCTTTCTGCTCCACATTTACCGTAATGTTTTTTTTAAACTAGCAGCAGTCACGGTGATATGGTGTAAAAATATCCTGAAATGTATGCGCTGCCCCCTAGTGCCAGGAAACCACACTGCAACTTTAATGTGTATGCCACACAATACAGGTCCCAAAAGATGTTGCAGCATTGCTTGAGATGTAGTATGTTGTTGTTTGAAAATGACAACAGCTCTTTAATTTTTCAACACAAGGTGCTTTTTGTTTAAACTGTGACGGGTGACATGAATTATTTCATGGGATGCTGGGCTTTCCATTCAGTGTGAATTTCAGCAGAATTAAGGTGCAGCCTCATCTTACATTCTGATGACTAAACAATCTCCATGTCTTTTCTGTGCTTTCCAGGATTTGTTGAGCTGAATAATGTGTTGACCACATGCTACCCACCACTGAGTGCAAACTAAACATCTGGACTGCTGCTTGGGAATGAACCAGGAGTGAGAAGAGCCCAGAGCGAATCAAGGACATCTCCTTTTTGGATGTACTAACTAACACTTTGGAACTCAGCGAGCATTTGAAACCAGTCTGGTTAGCACCAGGACTTCTTCTCTCCTGCACACATGTACACACTTCTTCCACCACAAAACCTTGCTTGAATGACAGCTACCTTGTCTGGACCACAAACACTTCTACTTGAAAAGTGAGGGGGGAGTGGGAAAAAAAGAGAAAAAGTAAAAGTCAACGATACTATCTATCGAGCCTACTTACAACGACCGACCCCACTGGAATCGTGGATGTCAAAAGTCCAACAAGAAAAAAAAAAGAACAGCTTTTTTAAAAACTGGATAGTGGATTGCCGTAGGAGATCTTTCTGTGAGACGGTTTGAGTTTTTTGGGACAGCTGACTTTTGAAGACCAATTTCTAAGACTTGAAACAAGGAGGTACAATTTCTCAGAGAAAGAACCTAAGTAGGGAATGTGACATTTTCAGGACACAAACTGGCTTAGACTTGGGATGGCCATCTTCAGCTCGGAGTGCCTGTTCGTTTCCAGGGGATACTGTTGCTGGGGAGAGCCCTAGCAACGGTTTCCAGGGAGTCTTATCTGTCATTCCTTAGTTGTTTTAGGGACCAAAAGACCAAACATTTTTACTGCTGAGGACTTGTAGCTCTAATATACTCGGACCACTGCGGCTCTTACAGTCAGCGTTAACTGCTTGGAGGGTTGCACCTAAAACAAAATGTACATTTCGAATATATACAAAACATGTATATAAACATATATATTGCTGATATGCTTTTTGAATATGAGCAAAACTATTTCAGATGACCAAAAAGGGTCGCTCACTTCGCTAGTTTACAATTACTCCAAATGTTTATTTATCTTATTTGACTTTTCTCTTTGTTTTTATTTTGAGTTGGGAGGGAGGGCGAGTGCATGGGAGGGGCTGCTCCGTATCACAGCCTTATCTTTTTTAAATTGACATCTTAACCTCATAGATAGAACAACATCAGAAACATTTGAAATATATGAACTTGTTTATATTTGCAGTACATATATGTGTATAACAAGCATTCAAGCAAATGTATTCATATATACAGTATATATGGATAATAGGTATTAATCACAAATATATGTATTTATATGCACATATTTTACGCGTGTGTGTGTGTGCGTGCGTGCGTGTGTGTGTGTGGAAAGGATACTGACTACGATGAGATTTGGGTTTTTTAATTTATTTATTTTTTTAGATTTTAACCGAAGTTTGAAGCAACGCTCTGCTTGGGAAGAATTGCAAATCTGGCAGCTCCCAAAACTGCAGGCATTCCTATCTCTGATAACCTATATGCTGACACAAAATAATATGTCACTGAGGGATACGTGTGCGTGTGTGTGTGTGTGTGTGTGTGTGTGCATGTGTGAGGAACAGAAGTTTTTGTAAATATTATTTTAAAATGCAAAGTCACATCTCAGTAGCAGGCTTAAAAAATCAGGCTAAATGATTTTAGAGGGAAAGGAAAATTATCTTTAACTCTATTCCGAACACATATCATGTAAGCTCTCTCTCTCACACACACACACACACACACACACACACACGCACATAAACTTCTCTTTGAAACTTGAACCAAAATGAATACATCTCACAAACCCTTTCTCTCTTTTGCATTCAGTAAAGTGCATGTAGCGTATGGGCTGTCACCATGTCAAGGTGTGCCTTGTCACCTGCAGAATCTGCCATCCAGCACTGTGCTTCTAGAAAACAGAGAATGAAACAAAGAAAAAAAGGACAACATGCAGCCAATGCACTATTATGATGTCAAAACCACAGCCAAGACCCGTATCATCTCTCTATATGGTTTCAGTGCATGTCGCGTGTAACAATTGCGCAATCACTGTCGCTCCATCGACGTCTTTCCAAGAAAAGAAAAAAATCAAAAAGATGCATCTTGAACTAAAGTTGACACATGCGATCATCAAAAGTGGGCATTAGGGAACCTGTTAGCATAGGTTATAACCTTCAAAGCTGTGTGCAGGGCACCCGTGACTCATGAGTGTTTGGATCAGGCACGGCGTGGCAGGATAAGAGATGAGACTGAACTTACAGCATTATAATTTGACTGGCCATGATGACGGTGGACATGTTGGAAAGATAGCTTCCCACTGGAAAGCAGAAAAGGTTTTATGCACCATCTAGCAGTTTGAAATGTGAATCTCTGCTTGTGATGCTTGACATGAAGCATACACTTTAAAAGATGTTATATGGCCTTATCATATGTCCTCATGCAGTTAAATATAAACACTTCAATGAAACTGTTAAATGAAGCAATAATTGTTAAATGCCATGTATGAGATCCAGCTGCTGCATCATCGAGGCTGGCTCCATGTTGCTTTTGGCGTGCAGTTTCTCAGAGCGGTCTAGGAAAACGGCATGGACACCTACTATGCACCTGCTAAAGGTCAGCAGGCTCAGATTTATTGGACTCTGTGCTCAACACATATTGAGCTGGTGGGGAATTCTTAATGAATATTTATATCTATGAATATTTATAAGGCTATATGACACCTTTGGAGACGATGCTTCCTGTTAGGTGCTGTTCTAAGTTTCCCTATAAACTGCTCTTTACGCCGGTTCCCCCAGCGTCGATGTCTAACCTTTTTTAGCAGTTTGAATAATTTAACATTTGCCTTCCAAATCCAGCTAGACTTAAACACACACACACACCAAACATCCCAAGACGCCTCTCTCCAAATCCTAAGCAGGGCTTTCAGTGCTAGCCAGTTGACAAACATGATCACTCCGGCTTTGACTTGAGTTTTATGAACTGGAACACAAAACCTCTAATGATCCAGCTGAACCAGCTCTGCTATCAATAACTTTGTTTTTACTGCCCCCTGCTGTTTTGAGGCCATTTTGGTTGTTTGTTGGTATTTGGGGAGGGGGGGGGGGGGGGTAGACACAGCATGTACTCTCCTCACGTCTGTTCTAGCAGTTATTCATATCTTCACGTCGAGGGAAATAAGGGAAGGCGAAACGACCCATGGGAACAAATGAGCCAGGCATCATAGCTTCATCTGCTCCGACTTAAAGCTGCAAGTTTACAAGGGAGAAGTCAAGCAAAGTGGTTCAGAAATGACACTAAGCAGAGCAGAAGTTTGAATATAAATATCTCTATAAATATATATATATATATACATAAACCAATGAATATATTGTAAATTTTCTTTTTTTGCTCCATTTTTTCTGTACATAGGTTTGCATATTTTATAGGACTTTTACTTCTGTACAAGAACTGGGTAAATAGTTTAAAAAAATTATATATATAATATATATATATGAATGAAAACATGATAATGCTCAGTAAAACCAGGTACAAAAAACAGTCACTAGGATACGGTACAAACTGTAGGACTTGACCAAGGCATTTATCCAGAACAGTCAGGGAGAGCATTGACCTCAGATGGAGCGTAGACACACATTTACCAATTTTATAAAAAAACAAATGTACAAAAAACACTGAATTTTAAACCTAAAGTTGGTTCTATTCTTTGCTTTGTTTAGATATTTGTTTAGGAGTCATGTTTGAGATTATGTGCATGCTTTCACAGCATTATTTTTCTATGAGTTGGTACGTGACCAAATGGTTTTTTATAATGACATGCACAGGCTACCGCTGTGGTCCCCCCGATGATCATAGTTCCTGTCTGAGGGACCATACTGCCTTCAGCACTTCATTGGTGATGGAGGGAAAAGAAGAAAAAAAAAGAAAGAGAAAAGCTCCTAATGACCAAGTGATGTCAAAGACAGATTTGAATCATTTATTTATTGAATTATTTATTTATTTATTGTTTATCTGTGCTGTTTGAGTCCAGATCCAAGCTCTATTGTCGTCACCGCTCCGTATTCTGACCGCTACTTTGACGTGGTAGCTGGTTTGAGTTGAAAAAAAAAAAAATAACTTGGATAAACATTGACTTTATGATTTCCTTTCACTGGTAAAGTATTCACAACAATGCAGTACAACACTAAAGCCTTATGCATACTGTAATTATACATTCATACTGTTCTTTTTTTAAAAATGGAGGTGTTCGTTTTGTTCTTTTTAAAAAATGCCAAAATGGCTGGCTTCTGTTTTATTTTTTACCATTTGCTTCATTTCTGAAACCTTTAAAAACAACATGGTGGAGCAAAAGGAAATCCTGGTTAACCTGTACATCTTAGATCAGAGGAACACACACCTGCTGTCAATACTGTATGTAATCCAATATAGACTGGACTCTTATTAATCCTTGGTAGCATATAAAAGAATTTTAGCTTTTAAAGCCTTTTTTTTTCATGCTGATTTTTAAATGTTTGACAGAGCTCTGATCTTGTTCAACTGTGTTCTGTCAAGAAGAAAATTCAATGAAGACTGCACTATTTCATCAGAAGAAGAAAAAAAGAAAAAGAGCGAGAAATCTGAGTTCCTGTTCTGTGCTGTTTTCAGTGTTTTATTTCTAATGCTCAGTAATGTTGCTAGAATCACATTTTACATCATGTGGTTTTATTCAAAATGTTCTGGAAATCGACTGCATTTCCCATTTTCAGCACAGATGGGGGAGTGGGGGTAATGAATGTTGCATATTAAGCTTTTTTGCCAGGTTCCTAATGAGCTGAGCTTGTGATTGGGCAGTACGCTTTAGGCTCCCGCCCCCCGTCTCTCCAGACAGCACCATTCTCTGGTCCGCTGGACTCCTCTTTTGTAATTTTAAATGAATGATGCGTCTCAGCTTAGCCCAATAATAAAGCACAGTCTAGAAAAAAGCATGCTGTGTGGTGTCCAATTGCTGATTCCTCATCAGCACGTTACTTGTGTTCTACTTTAATGCAAACTCTTAGATACGAATACGATACGTCTATCGAAAAAACAGTACAACGGAAGAGCTTGCTGGAACGACGGAGTTTATACTTCCAGGATTTATTGAGGTAGCAGGATTTATGCATAATGCATTTGAGCTCAACTCCGAATGGACGATTGTGAGTCATGAGATTCAGTTTGCATTCACATCGCCAAGGTCTTCAGAGACGATGAACACAGCTCTGAGTTCAAAAGTTTTCCTGGGGCGAAGCATGATTTCATTTGCAAAAGTGGCCAGTTCTGAATAAATAAACATTTATTTGTGTTTTAAAAAGCATCACAGTAGCACATAACAGCAAGTCAATCTACAAAATTACATTTATTCTCATTTTAGATTAAGAAAAAAATTATAAAGATTTTGAAAAAAAAATGAATACAAAAGGTAAAATCCTGTTTTAGCAAATGAAAAATATATCTTCCAGTATTTGGCTTTCTTCCAGGTCCTGTTGAAAGCTTTGAGGATAATTCCCACCGGGAGGAAGCAGGGCTCCACCGACTGGTCTGGGAGCTGCAAAAGTTGATGAATTGTGTCGTGACGTTTTGGGTCTTCGAGCACCTGGTCTGCGCTGCTCAGAGGCCGAGACGGGACTAAAAATATCCAACAACTCAACCACAGAAAAGTCCAGTCTGAGAAAAATGGAAAGAAAAGAAACAACAATTTTTGTTTTGATTGTGGTTTTCCCCACATACCTTGTGTTTTACCACACAACCCATTGGAGCCTTGCAAAGAGGTAGTTCCGTAAATGTGTGGTTGAGAAACAAACACAAATGCTGCCAGTTACATCCCAGACCCTTACATTTACACAAGTCCGTTTGAAGCTTTGTGTGTGTTTCGATAACTGTCATACACCTTTCACTTGTTAACTCAGACAGTACAAAAAGCAAAACTCTTTTCCCCCAAATGCTAACAAATTCTTTCCTGAGGAAGTGCCAGAAGAACTCTAACAAGCAGCAGCACTAACAAGTCAGAACCACTGGGGCGTCCCCGCTGAAAAGCAACCTTTCTTGCAGGTGTGTGAGAATGAGGAGGAGAGGGGCCTGGTGCTGCTTTCTCCTCCGGAATAGAAATGAGGGAGTGTGTGCAGTGAAATAAATAAACCAAAACTGGGGAGATTAAGCTAATAGAGATTCAATCCCTCAGTCTGGCTGGCTTGATAAATTATTCAGTGTATACACAGTCGAACGGCGGCCATTCCAGATACAAAACATGAATTCTTTAAAGCATGCCCGACGGATCTTGCCAACATAATTCTCTGCTCATTTAAAGCTGCATCGATTTGCATCGCGCCGCTCTGCACACAGCTCTCCCAGGTAGGGGTGATCTTTGGGATGCACTTGTTGATATGCGTGTGGGTGGTCACCAGACGAGACACGCCGGCGAAACTCCTAATCAGGGCGCATTTGTGTTCCTGCACACGTAACTACAGACCTTGATATGTGGCGTTCTCAGACTAATTCCAGGCAGCACACATCAGTCGCTGAAAAGCTTTAAAAGGCTATATTTTGTTTTGGCAGCACGAACAAATGTATGCACGTGTTTAAGCATGAGGGAGAGAGTGAATGAGGGTTAAGTCAACGGAGGTGTGATGGCTGATGGCGGGGAGGGGAAAGAAACAGCCTGAAGCATGAAAAAGTAAATTTATCCTCCTCATTTGGCCTGCTTTGTGTCAACCAGGAGACAAAAAAGAAAGGGTAAGAATAGCTGGTGTGTGCGTGTGTGTGTGTGTGTGTGTGTGTGTGTGTGTGTGTGTGTGTGTGTGTGTGTGTGTGTGTGTGTGTGTGTGTGTGTGTGTGTGTGTGTGTGTGTGTGTGTGTGTGTGTGTGTGTGTGTGTAAAAGAGGCTGGAAATGAGTTCTGCTTTTTGGATGGAAAGGCGGGCGGCGAGGGAGCGTGGGGAAGGAACTTTGGACGGGATGCTTCACTCGAAATGTGAGAATTTGCATTTTTATTTGTTGATTTATTTAATGGACAGGGCTCTCAAACAGCCATCCATCAACAAGCGACATGGCTGTAATGAATAATGCATCACTTAAGGGCGGTCACAATCCATAACGAGGGTGGGGGTGGGATGGAGGGTACAGTTTGGGCAGGAGTTGGGGAACAATGGTGGGTGGGGAGATAAGAGTAGCGGCAACGCTGAGACTGAACAAGAGAAGTAAAACAAGAACAAACTGATTTCTAAGAAAAACTAAAAATAAAAGTTACTTTTTCCTACATACGTATTATTCCCCCCCCCCCCCCCCCCCCCCCACCCCCACCCAAACACATGGCAGATCGGAAGTCTTTAGACTGAATCCATGCCTTCCCGGTGACTATGAACCTTTATTTTCTCACTCATAACTCTGGCTGCTTATTCGGCTCCTCTCTTTCATTAAAGATAGCCGTCTCGCCCCGATGCCCCTTTTCATTTGCAGTCCAAACAGTAAAATAAAAAACCTATAATGGCCGCTGCATATATCCGGCATGACAATTTCCAAACCAATCAATAGCAGGCGGGCAATGGCAGAATAAATGGAGATGAGATGGGCAGGGTGTGCTGGAACTGTCTCATTACTAACTAGCGCAGGATTCATGAAAGGATTAGGAAGGTCACTTAAAGTTAACACCCATTCTGGGTTCGCAATTTGTGCATCGCGATTGTGATGGTTGAGATTAGATAGCCATGGAGGGGGGTAAAAAAACATTTTCCAAGGGGATTACAGAACAAATGGTCCTCAACTGACTTTGCTTAAACATCTCATATAGAAGCATTTTTGAATCTTTGTTGCATTGTAACAGTAATTTTGTTGCTTTGTTTAGTTTTCATGGTTATTCCAGCAGAAATATTCTGAAATTGCTGATAGAAAGAAACGGGCCCGTCACCCATAGCAACCAAAAATAAACAAATTGTTCGAAACATATGGTGGCGTAAAATGTTTGACTTTTTGGAGACTGCCTTGCTTCAACACTTGTACCTGGATCAACCTGCTCAGACTAGCTGTTAGCTTATCTGTCAAGTGAGAATGAATCTCTGTTTCTCCAAACAGAGGTTGTTCAAAGAGTCATCAAGTAAAAACTTTGTTTCTATAATAAAAATGAAATTAAGAATAAACTGAAAATGATCTGTACTATTCCTCTACGGCAAAGATGATGATGCAGGGCATACACTGTGGTGTAGCAATGATTTATATTTTAATTTCCAGAAAAGAAAACAGAAAAACCTCGCCGTTTCCTAATGATGATCGTTTTCTTAGAAAAGATAACTATGGTTCTAATGACTTTGGTGGATTACAAGATGATTGAAACTTACAAAAGCCATCAGAGAGGCAGGTTTCCTCGTTACATTTAGCAACAAACATTTAATTTTATCATCTCTTTTCTTTTCTTTTTTTTTAACTAAAAGTCCAGTTACTTTAATAGACTTTGGGGGAGAAAATGGATGGTAATAAGAGTTGATGGCTTAGGTCCCCTGATGGAGCTAATGGGCATCTGCCAGAGCTTGCAGCCTAAACTTGGACCATGTGCTGCTTTGATTAAGAGTTGCTATGTAATGTAGTAAACTTTAAACTGCTTTGAGGGTTTCTTGTTTGGAAAGTGGTCATTTTAACATCCTGTCTCACTAATAAACTGGATTTTATAAAAGGTGGCAGAAAAATGCCTGTAAAGCATCACATCTAAAAAGACATACTTTGCTATTTTTTCATATTTTTGAATCATTTTCTTGAGCGAGTGTGTGCTAAAATGACCCTTTACAGAGTTAATGAAATGTCACTCAGACCCCAACTGCCGTCTGTTGCCCGAAAACCGCATTTGAAACTTCAGAGTGCCGGTCCTTTCTGTTGGAGCTGACATACATGGTGCTGAAGATGAATCAGTCCTGTAGACACTAGGGAAGACTGGGCAGACGTTTCAGCTGTTAGATGTTAAAAAGAGGAACGCATAGCGAGGAGACGGGTTTTGCTAGGGGGTGCTAAAAGCAAGCAAAACTGACAAGTGTGCCTTTAACAGAGATGGTGTTTTTCTTTGATGCACGTGTACACTAACTAATATTTTACATTTATGACTCCACAGCAGCTCCACGTGTGCAGCAGCACACACTGGGGTTAATTACCGTTTAGTGACTCAGGCTAATGCCCGATGCTTTTGTGTCTTTCTCATCGTTTCCATTCTTCTCCATCTGGACCTAATCTGTCTTTCCCTGCTTCCCATTTTTCATGTTTTCCAATGCTCTCATCCTCAAATGCACTTTTAACATCTCTCCCTCGCTCCAGCCTTCTCTGTCTCATTACTGTAGCAGAGCAAAGAGGGAGGGCGGCGTGTGCATCCAAGTCTGTTCAATTACACCTGCTGCAGGATCCCTGCTAGGCCGACTAATGGAACGCAGCGTGTCTCCTGACAGGCTGGCCACAGCCTAGCTAGCCCTGTAAAAAGCTTCATTTAGCTTCTCGCAGCTCGAAAAGTTAGCCAGATGAAGAGAAGTTATCAGTTAGCCGCAAACTCTCCCAACAAACTCTAGGACTAAAGAAAAGCTGCAAAATCCCAATAATTCCTGTTTCTTTAAAGCTCAACAGTTGATAATTTTTGAGAACCAAAGGAAAAACATGATCCGCCTTCAGGAGACACAAGCAACTCATGAAATATTGGTAATTATGTCTTTGCTCTTTAAGCTCTTTCTCTTTCAGCACCTTCTTCTGAATCTGAAGCTACATGTTTCTGCCCAACAAGCTACCCACAGCTGCCTCTTTTGTTTGTTTTATTTTATTGCGCCTCTCACCTTTCTTATTTCTGCTTCTGCTAGTTGCTGCCAATAAAAAAAAACTGACACTTTAATATTACTTGATGCTCCTTTCCTTCATCTGATGTGATGGCTGCCTTTGACGCGTACAGGATCTGCTCTAAAGTCTCCAGTCTGCTTCGTAAACTGCCTCCTGGTGACTAATGTTAGGACCTGACAGCACTTTAATAAAACCGAGCCGAATAGAAACAGTTTTTTTTAACTACTATTACTGCACTTCCCTTTTTGAATTTATATTACTAATTTTGATTCAACTTTAATCCTGCTTAAAGAAACACAATTAGCATCATCACAATAAATGTGAAGTATTTATGGTGAACGTTTGCTTACTTCCCAGGAGTCTTTTGGGTTGTAGACTCTGATGCGGAACGCTTCACCTCTGAAGGAGGCCGTGCTTGAGATGTGGTCACGTCCCTTCTGGATGGTTCTGACAGACCAGCTGCTGAAAAAATAAAAGCAGAGTTTTGCTGCCAGAATCCAGGACAACATTTTATGTGGAAATGAAAATGCAAAAAAAAAAAATATATTAAAAAGCTCTAGTGGGGCAGTATTGTCATTTGCTCTGACCTGAAAGCATCCCTTTGCACACGAATAAGAAAATAACCAATTAACCAAACATAACACTAGCGTACCGTTTCCACTGACTGAAGGAGCAGGAAGACTCTGAGAGTTTGTGTCATCTACGTTTTGTCCTGCTGAATGTGCCTCAGCATCTCCCGATATCCTGAAAACCACAGACAATGAAACAAAGCGGTTTTTCATCCTGGATGACCGCTGTTCTCCGGGAGTGTGTGTGAGTCTTTGATGTGGGAGGTGTGTGTCTGATTAAAGTCGTTACTTGGTTTACCTGGAGGGCAAATCTTGGTGGGAGGGACCCTCCGCCCCTGGTGCTGCATCAATAGTATTTGAACTGCTGGGCTGAGCTTGAGTGGGCTGTTGAATCCTAAAAAACATGAAAAGAACAAAATATTAAATAAAAGAACAGCGATGACAAATTATTCAGACACACACAGAAGAAATACCGCTTGTTAATTAGATTGAAAACAGCTCTTTGAGAAGTCACCATGCCTGTGATTTTTCTCTGGCCTGTGTGTTATACCTCCTGTAATCAAGTCGTGACTGTCGTAGCTGCTCAGCCTGTCTGCTGAGCTTCTCCTCCTGCTCCTCCAGCCGTGCCTGCAGACGCTCCCTTTCCGTCTCCAGCTGCATCTTTTGAAGCAACAGCTGGTGCCTCTTCTCCTCCCAGTCCTTGTGACCCAGCAAAGGCCTGGTCAGAGCTTCTTTATCCTCTGAACTCCTGAGTTTCCCATTGGGACTTCTGTACATAAATAAAATACCCATATTTAATATCCTTACAAGGTCTCTTCATAGAAAATAAGTCTGACAAACTGTACCTTGCACCATCCTTCTCAATAAAGGTGTCATGATGGCAATTCACTGGACAGGAGCTGCTGTCACTTCTCCACTGCTGTGTTCTGCAGCCAGAGTCATGACAGCTGCCCTGGCAGCGTTCACATGTGCAGCATGCCCGTGGCTGCCTGCTCTCCCTCTGTGTGACTGGCCCCTGTTTGGAGATGAACTCACCATCGGGGGAGATGGAGGCAGTGTGTAGAGGCATTTCTGCTGCTCCTCTTCTTGCATTAGCACTCCTGTACAACGGAGCTTGTTGCGCTCTAGCAGCAGCGAGGCTGAGGTACGAGCCGTCAAAGAGTGAGCCATCAGCTCTGCTTGCAGATGCCCTGCTGGGGGCTTCCTCGCTGTCGAGCACCTGTACAGAAAACCACGAGCCCTATGAGTTCTATTTGGCAGATTTAGAAAGCCTCTGAAGGCCTAATGGAGCTTTTTTGTCCAGACAAAACAGACTGCTTCATAAAAGTTTAATTTACAGCCAGGACAAAAACCTGAAATTTACCAATGCATTACGACTAAGCTAATTTGCTAATGCTGTAATGTGCTGTAAAAGCTCCTTGTTTGTTTGCAAGACCCATTGAGTTTCCGAGTGCTGCCAAGGTACAGATTATGTAAACAGCTGAGCCCGGACACACCGTGTGTGGACACGGGAAACGAGCCGCTGCCAGATATGAGCAGTCTGGCTACGTCTGGGCTTTATGGCAACACACAACTTTCAAAACTGCAAACCTAACAGATGCCAGGGTACCAAGAGGACCATTTTTACTTGGGCATAAACGGCAGGTGTGTGAAGACCAGAAACATAATAAAATAAACAGGGAGAAGCCAACTTTATATTTTACAGATAAAAAAAAAGTTTAAATCAATTTGTCAAGGGTACGAGTGCAGGCAAACACGCGCAGCTCAGAACCACAGAGGGGCAATGAAGTCATCTATACTCAGACAAGCTAAAGTGTCACCTTGGGAACGCTTTTGTCATGTTCTTGTCATAAGAAACTTAGGATGAAATGGACTTTAGTGATTTGCTCTGATTTATTGTGACATGGGGCAATGTGCTGCAGTGCAGGTTTCCACATACCGTTTTTGTGCCGAAGATGGTGATAAATGTCAAACAGGGCTGCTCTCTAAATGCGCGCCAACCTTCAGTTTTATTTTACAGTTTCCACTGCATGTGCTCTAGTTTCAACGACAGTAAAACAAGAAAAGCGCGCACACGCACACACACACACACACACACACACACACACAACTATTCCACCTTTCGCCCTACCTTACTAGCAGTTGGTGGCTGAGTGAGCGAAGCAATGGACTGGTTGAGCTTCGTCTGTTGCTGAGAAAGATATTGTTGGTAAAGACCGAGCAGCTCCTGGCATTCTTTGTACTGTTGCTGCAGGCCTGGAGCACCAAAGGTTAAGTAAAACTGCTGAAATCCCAAAAGATAAAAATATAACACATTCCCTTACCCAAACTAGCAAGCACTACACTGTTGGTAGAATTGTGTGGCTGAAGCACAGTTTTTACTTTGCAATATGTAATGCCTAAAGTACTGTGAAAAATATTTGCCTCTTTACCATTTTTCTCTCTTTTTTTGTCTTTAATGTTTCAGATCCAGTTTAGAAAATACAACAAAATTCAATTTCAGGCAATAATAAGCGGGCTAAATACAAATACAAAATTCTGTTCAAAATCACTTAAATATAAATAATAATACATTTTATTTGTAATATGCTGTCTGACAACATGAAGTGGGCTAAACGATCTCAGAAGAAATATGACCTATTCTAAAGAAAATCAAGAACAAAAGAACCCAGAAGATCTGAAGTACTGCAGGACTCATTTGGTTTGAGAAAAGCTGTCAGAGTTCATGATTCGACAGTAAAAGAGGAATGTGTGTGTCAAATTTTTTCCTTTAATAAAAAAGTTTTAAAAATACTTTTTGAATTGACTGTTCTCCTTGCTATGCAATATGTTTGCTGACTTATAGATTCAAAGATTTTTTTATGCATACTTTAATACACTTGCAGTGGTCTCTAGTAGGAATGAATGCCCTCTGTAATGCTAACGGTTAGCTTCTACTAGCCGAGATGTTCTCTGCCGTTTCCTGAACGCTAAACCAACAATAGCCTTCGTCGTCATGAGTCAAGATGGGTGAGCCCATGAATGTTAAGTGACAGTGTGATGTAGATCTGTCAGGGTTTTCTGAACCATGCATCTTTCTATCAGAAGCTAGACCAACAATCAGAATTTAAGACTTCTTTCTCCAATGACACACTAGGCCAGAAAGGCAGAGGAAGAAAATTTGAAGTAAAAAGAGAGAAAGCGAGGAGCCCAGCAAAATCTAAGTTGTTATTGTGGAATGTAGCTTTCACCATCTGGGTTGAGCCAAGCTGTGCTGAGTTGAGCTGGGCTGTGCCATGCCAGGCTTTCTGCCAGTCAGAGAGCTGGCAGCCACAGGAAAACTAATCTGGAATGAGACTACTGCTGCGCCTCAGGAGCCCACTAATGACAGTGGCAGCACCACAGCACACCACACCACACAGACACATACAAAGATAATGAGCATAAGAATGGCTAGGCTGTACATAGACACACACGCAACTATCAAGTCTGACACACACACAGACACAACAAGATACAACACTGCAAATTCCCCTCATGCACTGTAAACTGCCCACACACAAACACAACAATAAAGCTAGTAGTGTACAAAGCAAGTTGTACACACTCTCCCTCCCCCAAGCTGACCATAAAGTGTATTCCTCCAGGCCATATCTTTTTATGACAGTGTCCATGCTCCCCCATCTGATGAGTTTCTCAGCATCCATTCCATTCCATTTCCATCCACTTATCCAGAGTCGGGTCACGGGGGCAGTAGCCTAAGGCGAGAGGCCCAGACTTCTCTCTCCCCAGCCACTTGGGCCAGCTCCTCCGGGGGATTCCCAAGGCGTTCCCTGACCAGGTGAGAGACATAGTCCCTCCACCGTGTCCTGGGTCTACCTTTAGGTCTCCTCCTGGTTGGACGTGCCCAGAAAACCTCACCAGGGAGGCGTCCAGGAGGCATCCTCACCAGATGCCCGAGCCAACTTCAACTGACTCCTCTCGATGTGGAGGAGCAGCGGGTCTACTCCGAGCCCCTCCCGGATGACCGAGCTTCTCACCCATTCTCTAAGGGAGAGCCCAGCCGCTCTTCGGAGAAAACTCATTCCGGTCGCTTGCATCCGCGATCTCGTTCTTTCGGTCACTACCCAAAGCTCATGACCATAGGTGAGGGTAGGAACGTAGATCGACCGGTAAATCGAGAGCTTCGCCTTCTGACTCAGCGCTCTCTTCACCACGACAGACTGGTACAATGCCCGCATCACTGCAGATGCAGCACCAATCCGCCTATATCGATCTCACGCTCCAGTTTTCCCTCACTCGTGAACAAGACCAAGATACTTAAACTCTTCAACTTGGGTCAGGCCCTCATCCCTGACCCGGAGAAGGCATTCTATCCTTTTCCGAATCAAGACCATGGTCTCAGATTTAGAGGAGCTGATTCTCATGCCAGCTGCTTCACACTCGGCTGCAAACAGCTCCAGCAAAAGCTGAAGATCACATTCTGATGAAGCCAACGGGACCACATCATCTGCAAAAAGCAGAGACCTGATCCGCAGGCCACCAAAACGGATGCCCTCCACACCTTGGCTGCGACTAGAAATCCTGTCTATAAAGGTTATGAACAGAATCGGTGACAAAGGGCAGCCTTGGCGGAGTCCAACTCTCACTGGAAAAGAGTCCGACTTACTGCTGGCAATGCGGACCAAGCTCTGACACCGGTCATACAGGGACCTAACAGCCCGTATCAGAGGGCCTGGTACCCCATACTCCCGGAGTACCCCCCACAGGGCCCCCCGAGGGACGCGGTCAAACGCCTTCTCCAAATCCACAAAACACATAAAGACTGGTTGGGCAAACTCCCACGCACCCTCCAGGATCTCCCTAAGGGTATAGAGCTGGTCTAGTGTTCCACGGCCAGGACGAAAACCACATTGCTCCTCCTGAATCTGAAGTTCAACAATCCGATGGACCCTCCTCTCCAGAACCCCTGAATAGACCTTACCAGGAAGGCTCAGGAGTGTGATCCCCCTGTGGTTGGAACACACCCTGCGGTCCCCCTTTATAACTAAGGGGACCACCACCCCGGTCTGCCAGTCCAGTGGGACTGCCCCCGATGCCCACCCGATATCGCAGAGCCGCATCAGCCAACACAGCCACACAACATCCAGAGCCTTAAGGAACTCCGGGCGGATCTCATCCATCCCTGGAGTCTTGCCACAGAGGAGCTTTTTAACCACCTCAGCGACCTCAGCACCAGAGATTTGAGAGGCCAACTCAAAGTCCCCAGACTCTGCTTCCTCACTGGAAGACATGTTGGTGGGATTGAGGAGGTCTTCGAAGTATTCTCCCCACCGATCCACCATGTCCTGAGTAGAGGTCAGCAGCACACGGTCCCCACTATAGATAGTGTTGGTAGTGCACTGCTTTCCCCCCCTGAGGCGCCGGATGGTGGACAAGAATCTCCTCGAAGCCGTACGGAAGTCTTGCTCCATGGTCTCACCAAACTCCTCTCATGCCCGGGTTTTTGCCTTGGCGACCACCCGAGCCGCGTTCCGCTTGGACTGCCGGTCAGCATCTATTTGTGAAAAGCCCCCATTTAAAGAGAAAATCAAAGTTCAAAGTAGAGTCTTATTGGAGAAATTGTTGGCGGAACACCGAATAAGAAAACACTTTGCTTGTAGGAAGACTTCAATCAGGCTGTGGAAATGAAACCGGGGGGGGGGGCTTTGAATTGAGGACCTGACACCAGACAAAAGCAATGCAGCAGCTTCCACAAACACTGGGGAAATGTGAAGGAACACTTTGATTAAACCCTCTGTCTAACTCAGGCTCCTCTAGGCCTGCGCTGATCTCCATGAAAGCAGCGCTATATGGAAAACTTAAGGACACCACATCACGTAAACCAGCACTGGGAGGTCTGTTTATGCAGCATGAAGGATCTTAAACGGGTGAAGCTGAATATGCCTCTGAGGTCAGGCCTCACCTAGATCAAAGACAGAATTGAGTTTAAAAAAAAAGTGAAATAAAAAAAGGTTTCATTTGCCTGAGTAAAGAAAAACAATTGGGGATCAAATTATTTCTGTACGATTAAAACTTCAAACATGTGGCATGTTAATGCTGTCCCAGGCTAATCTCAGATATGTTACAGGTAAGAAGGTAAACCTTCTCTCAGAATGTCATCACTAAACACACCTGCTCTACAGCCTTGGACACCATCCAGTGGGAGCGCTGGCAAACCTAGTTTACATCTGAGCCACAAAGTGCAGACAATAACTTACTCCTTCCCTCCTGCACCAAAAATACTCCAAATCAAGGGCTTGCAGAGAAGAGGCTTCAGACGGGGGCTGTCAGAATGATTCACTTCCCTGTCAGGCCCAGGCGCAAATGAAATAATGAAATCCATTTCAAGGTGGAACAAATTTGCACAGGAGGGGGGGGGGGGGTGTTAAGGTCCACTTTAGCGCTCTGTACCAAACAGATTGAGTCCAAGCCGGAGTGCATAGACAATTGGAGAAAAGGACTGGTGCATGATGGGTGTTGGAGTACATGAATGTGTTTTAAAAAGAATGACAGAACTGGAGGACTTAAACCAAGAAAGATGGTATGAATGCAACACAGAAAAGGAGTTAGGAAACACTCAGAAATCAGAAATGCATCCTAAGACAGCTATTGTCCACCATTTTTAGGAATCATTATTCACAACCCAAACCTAACAGTTTGGAAGCACTGACCAAGTTGTGTCTTACTGAGTCATTAAGCAAGCCATCTGTCTATGAAGTAGGTTTATTACACACCTACCAAACCAAGATTCAACATGAATTATCAATGATCTACCAAACTAATGATCTATAGCCTTCATTACTTTAGTGCATTTCAGGTTATCGTGTATTAGACACAGAAAAAGGTTGTTTCAGTTCGGCTGTTCACTTAAACTATAAACAAACTTATGTTTACTTCAAATAACAAGAGTTCAGGGTGCTTATATTACATACAGTGTGGTCCACAATCTATCAGATTCCAATTCTCCATGGATTTAGAGCAAACATATTTGTAGCACAGCTGATTACTCATTACCGATCAGTGTGGATCACTATTTAGTTCTTTGAAAGGCGTTCTAGAAAGATTTGTTGGGGCTCACAATGGCCAAGTACAACTCCATAATGAAGCCCTATAATGGAAAGGGGGACTGATGAGGAACAAAGTCTGCCTATATTCAACGACAACAAAGAAATTTTTAACTTAATTTAATTTAAAGAGATACTTTGCAACTTTTTCATTTTTTAAACTATTTTCTTGAGCCAGTATGTGCTAAAATGACCCTTTACATTGTTAATGAAATCTCACTCTGCCCCCCACAGCCCTCTGTGGCCAGAATCTGGCATTTGCAACTTCAGAGTGCCACTCCAGTCTGATGGACTTAGAAAACAACTTGAGCTGACATACCTGGCGCTGTAGTCTGGTCCCATTACATTTCCTGCGTGTTTTAGATCATAAACACAGCTGTTTTGTTCAATTTGGTGATGAATCACTCCTGTAGACACTAATAAAGGCTGAGGAGACATTTGAGCTTTCAGATTAAGGTATTAAAAATGCACAGCACTTAACGGACACTAGAGAGTGCTAAAAGCAAGTTAAAACAAATGGAAAAAAATTGCATACCAGACAAGAAACAAGATAAACTATAATTGTTAAGCTGCCCTAATCTTTAAACATCAGCATCGGCCATTGAAAACCCATATCAGTTGTTCTAAATTAGACTATTTTTAATTAAAACTAAATAATTCTCTTTAAACTAGCTTTGTAATCCTAAATGCCTCTCACCTTTGACAATGTTACAGAAAACGTTAAATTTATTTAGTCCCATAATCCCTTGCATTGATGAGTGTGGCCTTATTGTTATAAGCTTTCTTGAACGATTCATAATTTGTAGGACCATCCAGAGAAACACATAAAATCTATAGCATGCAGTTATTTGTTATAACAATGAATGTACAACATAACAAATCATTTTTTATTCCCTCTGATTACAAATCACATCACAGCTTCAATAAGCAATGCCAAGAATCAATACTGACTACAGGAGTTTAACTTTTGATCCAAAATGGAATGCCCGGAGCTAATTATGGCAACGCTGGCAATGTTTTTGCAAAGTCTAAGAAAAAACATTCCTTATAATTATCCAAGTTTCCGACAGTTATCATTTTATTAAAAAAGCACGCTAATAAACCTGATCCGTATAATTACATGTAATCATGTTGTTTCTATTTACTTGGTGGTATTGTTTCGCTTAGCGACTCATGCTCTCTGTTTTAAACCTGAACTACAGAACTGTTTAAGTATTGCCAAACTGGCTTCTGCCCAGGCCAGCATCTTCTTTTTTATTAACCTCCAAAATGCATTACTTCCTATCTCAAACACAAACTCGGCTCTATGTGCCACTCAGTTGCAAATGTCAGCAGAATCTCCCAAATATCAAAGAAAGTTTTCTGTCTCATCCTGGGTGGCTAGGGGGCTAAAGTATAGGCCCACACGTTTTAAACCTCAGACAACCCTGAGCCTTGGTTAGATAAGATAAGCTGAGGCGTAATGGAATTAGACTTGACAAGACTCTCACTCAGTGTGTTTGCCTTTGGTGTCTCCTTAACCTTTAGAAGAAGTGCTGAAACCCTCTGCCTGAGAAGAGCCTTCACGACTCGCGCATGCACTTTAAAAGACTGTTACCCCCTAAAGATGCTAGGTTTTAAATACGTATTCCCCCTAAAATACCTTTAATGAAGTTTAGAAGTTCAGTGTAAATGCCAAGTCTCCAAGCCAAAGGGCCTTTAATAGAGTTGTGCTTTTCTAATTTTACATGCTGCTTTTGCCAATCAGGCGAATTTGCAGCTGGATCAATTACTCTTTTTGCTGCAGTTAATTACACTGTGGATTGAATTATGAATGCATAGTGTGACGTGTTTTGGGTATTGGGTTTATTTTTCTGTCGTTTGGATTGTCTAAAGACTTTGTGAGTTTGTTGTGGGGTGACGTGACTGACAAACGGCTTTAGCTCATTTATTTATTAGCTGTTGTGTTGTAAATGCTGTAGGGCTGGGCAATGTGGCCTCAAAACAGTATCACGGAGTACTGAGCAGTTAACCTTGGGCCAAGTACACAGGTGGCAGGAATGGCCAATCACATGGTAGCAAGTATCAGCAGGGCCAGTAGATGAGCTTATGGACGGTTCTAATGGGAAAAAGGCTTTAACACATGTGGTTGTTTTCCACTCGGTCCTAGTGCTCCACCATTGCCTATTTAATATAGCGTAATATTGCTTTTGGATGGTAAAATGTGCAGAGGACAAAAATTTACTTTGGGAAAAGTGTGTGTGTGTGTGTGTGTGTGTGTGTGTGTGTGTGTGTGTGTGTGTGTGTGTGTGTGTGTGTGTGTGTGTGTGTGTGTGTGTGTGTGTGTAAGGGGGTCATGTCCCCCCCACCACCCCCACCCCACCGCCAAAACTATGTCCACGTGTATGCCTGTGGATGTGTCCAGAAATAACGGCACAGACAGGTGACAGGATGCAAATAGACGGTCCTACAATCTCAGAGTTTTGGTAGATCGTCGTCACATTATAATCCTTAATGATCTTATATCGTCAGATTGCATGGCCCTAGGCAGAGTCACTCAAATACACGTGACTCCACCCCATCCAGTTTGTATCACAGCATCATAAAGAAATACGAACATAGGCAACCAACATACATCTATTGACATGGGCAAAATAAAGTTGGTAATAAATGTCTGTTTCGGTAAGTTTTCTGTATGCCGCCCACCCCTAAAATACAGTCACTTTTATTTGAATGTGTACTTTACTATTTAAAATGAAAGAACATCACTTACTATTTTACCTGAAATTAACCGAAGGTTACATTTTGGCACAATACAGCAACAGACTGATCGTCGAATTCATCTGATCTCACATTTCTGACTCAATAATATTCAATAGTTAGGGACACTTAAAAAAACATGGTGTGAAAGCCAACACCATGATCCTCTAAGTAAATATCAAAATTCATGTTTATATTGTAGGATGATTCGGGCAGTCCAGACCACGACCATGAAATTGATTCTGTGCACAACAGTGGATAAGCTAGAAGCAATTGCAAAGGACAACTGCAGCAAGCATCAAATCATCTAAACGCATCTATTTCTGTGCCTTTTTGTCAGACTGACAAGTCCTGCCCAAAGGTTTAGTCTTTCAGTGGGACAACACTGCCCCCTGCTGACTGTTTTGAGAAAATGATAAACTACAGTGTTATAGTAACTTTGTTGTTTAACCACATCAAACAGCTACAGCATGAGCCCTACGAAATCTCCTGTTATTGCTTTTTAAGTATTTTTACCCTCAAATTCAGTTTTTTCTGTTTTTCTTTCCCAGTTTAAGGATTTTAAGATCATTAAATATGGAAATCTGAAAAATGGATTTTGAGGTTCAAAAGAAAATTAAATCAAGCCTGGAAAAAATGTAGGTGGATTTCATAGGTCTCTAGAAGTGCAGACACGATGATTATCCAATCAAAAGCACCAACCAAAAGAAACTGATAGCCTTAGCTCCACAGCATAACGCCAAATTTTGTGAAGAAAATCCATATTAAGTATATCTGCAGCATTCCTATAGTGTTTTGAATTATTATATCTTGGAGTTATGCAGAGAGCCTTAGTTTAATCACAGTTAATCTTTTTGCAACATATCTAGAGCATCCTGAGACTACAGGACTTAAAAAACAAAGGGCACACCCATTATTACATCTACTCATCTATTATCTATCACCGCTTATCCTTGCAGGGTAGCGGGGGACTGGTGCCCATCACCGGCAGTCTCTGGGTAAACAGCCGGGGTACACCCTGGACAGGCTGCCGGTCCATCGCAGGCCCATTAGTACATTACATCTCATTTAAAAAAGCAAAGTTCACTAACAATTACTAAAAAATGATTAGAAAAACTCATTTCTCATTAACTTTCACCTGCAATTTCCACTTGAATTTAACACAATCAAGACTTACTTAATTAAAACACACATTGCACAAATCCTAATATATACTTCCTGTCTGTTATTTTTGAAAGGATACTCTCTCTCTCTTGTGCTATCATCAGGTTCTGTTGCTCCAGCTGCTGGATCTTACGTTCAAAATTCCCCTGCTCATCTTTCAGACGTTGAACTGAAACATCCTTCTCCTCGCTTACTCTGCCAAGCAAGAAAAACAAACGGTTAACAATACATTTTCAACAATACGTAAAAAAAAAATAAAATAAAGGAACAACATCATAAAATACTACTAAATTATTCAGAAATGAAACTGAGTGTAGTTTTAAGTTCCTGGGTTTATAGAAATGTGTTTTCAGTAACACCAGAGATTATGGTTATATGTGTTTGTTACCTTGCTAGTTCTTCAATGAGGGTTGCAATTCGCTTTTTGTCTTCAAGACAGAGGTCCTTCAAAGAGACTTCGCCCTTCTGTCTGCTAGTTTCAGAGACCGTCTAAGTGAAAAATGATTAATAAGCTAAATCATAAAAAGATAATTTATAAGAATATTGTAAGTTTTTCCCCATACTATATAAAACAGTTTCTACTTAACACTGACTCACCTGTGGAAAAGAGTGAAAAACATTCTGAGGCTGAGCAAGTGTGTGGATAGTAGGCACAGCAACATGTTGTTGAAATGAGATTTTTTTCTTGGTGTGAGGTCCAGAGTAATCGCTTTGTAAGTGTCCCTGTTTTGTGCCTTTTGTCTTTTGTTTGTCTTGATGTCTGCTGTCAGAGCCTGGCCTCACTTGGAGCTTGGTCCCCCTTTGGCTGGATGCACCAGTGCCGCCTGGTCTGAGACTGAAAGGTACCTGAGGCTTCGTTCCTCCATCAACTCCTGAGCCAGTTAGTAGAAGAGTACAAAAGAAAACCAGTAGGTATGAGGCAAAAATGATTTACCCACACTCATTTAGAACTCACTTCATTTTACATTTCTTAAAATTACAAGACTTACCAGGGACAAACACCAAAGGCTGTTCCTCATCAGACACTTGGAAAAAGCAAAGAAAACACAGTCACTTAATACTAAAACCACAAAAAAAGGGAAATTGGGCCAACATGTGCATACCATTTAACAAAACACATTTCTTTCACAAGTTGTGTGAAGATTTAAAACAAAAATAACACTTTCATTGAATAACATTCATTAGCCTGTGGTGTGATACAACTGTATATTAGAACAGGGATGACACTTTAATGATTATACCTGTTTGTACAGTTAAAATCAAGAATGAGCTAGAAGACCATGTGCTGAAGACCCAGAAAACTCTCAAAAGCTTCTACCTGTTACTGGAATGAAGGAAGTTGTGCTTTGCTGGTTAAAAAAAACGTTCAAATAGTTTGAAGGTGATGAAAAATTTATATCTTACTTGTAAATAGCTCTGTGAATATTCTCAGTTTAGAGAGATGGAGATTAATCCTGATCAGATAAACAGCTAGACACGTTTAATTCACATTTCTTGGTTATTCTGGCAGAAATATTCAGAAGCCAGGAGGACTACAGTAGCTAGCGCAGCAGCAATGTAAATAGCTAAAGTGAAATGCACAGTGGTGTTAACATGTTATTGGATTTCTTTTAACACAACAATGGCAATCTGTAACTAGCTTACTCAGACTAGCTAGCTGCTCATTTTCTACACAGGGAAAAATATTAGTTTGTCAAATTCTTTTCACAGAAACCCATTTCAAAAGATCTGAACCATCCCTTTAAGCTATAATTGTTTGTCATGAAACGTACAGGGATAAGTTTTAAAGTTATTGTTTCTTATCGCAGATATAGTATTCTAAATGCAACAGCATTGCTGATATTGTTGATGGCAACTTGATACCGCTAAACACAAAACACTAAATCAACAGAAAGGACTAACATTTAACCTAAAAACTTGGCCAGCTAAAGATTCTTCGCCTCTTCCCAATATTAAAAACTCAACTCTTACAACAAGAAAAACATAAGTTAAAACCGTAGAAACGTTAGTCTGTATGTGAGGTTCGCAGTGGCATGAACCACTTAGAGAAGCTTATAAAGTTTATTAAAAGTAAATTACCGCTATTCATCCAAAATATCTCCGACTTTTCAACCGAGTTTGCCGCTGCCGCCATGTCGAAACAACCGCCACTCCCTGTGATCCACGCGTTGCTAGGGAATTGTAGTTCCGCCTTTATTCAGCAAGCGATCATCTGATAGGTAATGCACAAGCCCGCCTTTCTATTGGCTGAAATGCGTGTATCTGGGCTCCCGAGCTGCTCTCGTTTCGTCACTTCCTGTGAAGCAGACAGTAGAGCTATCTGCGACATTGCAGGGATGCTGTGCAGGTTATAGTAGATGTTTACAAAGTTTTATTTAAGTTTCTGTCCTCGGCCTTTCTAATGGAAGAGACAAAAGAAAAGTTAGTGTTCAAATGTGTTGCTGAGAGGCTGACACTCGCCATTACGCGAATACTCGGTTGGTATTAGCTGTTTCTGTCTGGGTTAGCTTACAAGAAGTGGTGTTGTCATGTTAAGAAATTGAACTAAAATAATTTTAACCAAATCTTGTTCGTCCAGAGAACATGCCAGGAGTGGTGGATGTTCGTTTTGCAGAGAGGGAGCCAGCGGAGAAAAGGAGCCTGTTGTCATGGGAACAGGTAAAGGGAAAATAGATGCTTGACCTTTTAATTGTTTTGTTTTTTACTTTTCATATTTCTAATTGATTCCTCTCCTCAGAAAAACTCTTGTATTTTACCGGAGGATCTGCGAGACTTTTATCTGACAACTGATGGATTCACGTTAACTTGGAGTGTTAAATTAGACGGTAGGTGTGAGTGCTGTAGGTTTGTATATAAGTTTCACAACAATGTTGATTTATTCAGCTCAACTTCAGCCATGGTCTTTACGGGGCTGTGTGCTTCTTTTTCAGACGAGTGTGTTCCTTTAGGTTGCATGACAATCAACAGTGTGGGCAGGCTGTGCCCTCTTCTGCAACCGGTATTGCTTTTCTCCCTTCCTAATGCACCCTCACTGGCTGATCTGGACTGGGAGGAGAGCAGCACACAAAGTGGTAAAAGTCATCTATCAAACCTGGATGCAGGCAGGGTGTCACATTCAATCAGGCTAATGAAAGAGCAGTTGGGTGGACAGTAAATATTTGTTTATGAATGCTTTTTTATTTTTCCCAGGATTGCCGCATGTCCCCGTTGCACCTCATTTTGACGCTCGGAGTCGAATCTTTGAACTGGATTCCTGTGGTGGGAATGGAAAAGTGTGTCTTGTTTACAAAAACTGCACACCAGGTGTTTTGTTCATTGTGTCTTTATAATAAAACCAAACCTAAACCTACAAATATTCATGGTTTCTAGATACTGTATATGTTTTTTGCGGTTGTTAAATGAAATGTTTTATCAATTACCTCGTGATCTGTGTGTTTTTCAGGCGTGGTTGTTCAGCAAAGTGAAATCTGGTTTCTGGACCGATCGCTGTGCTGGCATTTTTTGACAGCAACCTTTACTGCCTACTACAGGTTGATGATAACGCACCTAGGCCTACCTGAGTGGCAATATGCCTACACGCCATATGGTCCGAGCCCCCAGGCTAAGGTATATATTACTCTCTCATCAGACCTTTAGCCCATGTGTGGATTAACAGTATTAGAATAGAATGGACTATTGATCCCACAGTGGGGAAATTCACTTGTTACAGCAGCACCAACACTTAAGAGAATAATTTGAAGAAAAAAATAACAAAAGTACATGTATACACACATAGGCAGTAATCTAGTATTGTAACCTTTGACCACTAAAAACCAAAAAAAAAAGGAAAAAACTTGTGTTCCAACACTATGCAGCATACTGCAAGAGGTATGGACATACTATGTGAATTCAGTATTAAACGAGTATTGAACACATACTGAATATTGTGTTGGTGTTATTGTGTAACAGGATAATGCCAGTACAGCTTAAACTGAGGAGTTATACACTCCTACTGCAGAGGGGATGAATGACCTACGGCAGCGTTCTGTTTTACATCTGGGATGTCTCAGTCTGCCTCTGAAGGAGCTGTCCATGGTCTCCACAGTGGGTGGGAGGGGTTTTTTAATATGGTGGTGATCTCCCCCAGCATTCTCCTTTTACACATCTCCTCAACTGTATTATTAAAACATTTAAAGTGACAATCTGTAGTTTTTACCTTTAATCTCTGGAAATATCCATCAAAATGTTGTCGAAAATGAGTAAAATAATGTCCAGTCATTGAAAAATAATGGTGGCTTCGTAAACACGTAACCATAATAATTAGGTCAAAAATAGATAGGGCGTGGGTCTACGCCGTATTAGACGCCATGTTTTGTGAGAGCCGGCTCAGTGTCCTGCGCCTTCCGATGACGTCACAGCATGTTCACTAAAGTTAAATAAGCACGTATGATATGTATGAATGTACTGCCCCCTAGCGTCAGGAAACTACGCACTAACAGACATCCTCCCCACCATTGAAGCCAACTCACCACCAGGTAGTGGTCAGTTAACAGCTCCGCCTTCGGCTACCACCCATCACACATCTCACCCGACCCATGTTTCCTCTTCAGGCTGTGCCCAGCATAGGTGAAAGCCCGGCCACCAGGGGCTCACTGTTGTGCCCCACCTCCAGGCCTGGCCCCAGACAGGGCACCGATGATCCGCATCCGGGCCAAGGAACACTGATTTCTTTTGTATTATTCATCATAAGGGGTCATTGGGCTGTACTTTGTCTAATCCCTCACCTGTCATTGTATCAGATTATGACAGCATACACTGAAATATGAGGAAAATCACAAATATTATGTGTCAGACCTAAAAAAGAAAAAAACTCAGCAGCAGATTAACAATTTCTGAAAGTCGCATCTTTAGAAAACTTAAAAAAGCTCATCATCTAATTTTTGTCAAGTGTTCAGCTATTTGAAGAAAAATCACATTCTCTGTGCTAAAATAGTAATTTATCTCTCAGACTGAGCCATTTATTTTAAATAAATCTGACAGGCTACAGGTAACAAAAAAATATAATTTAAAACGGGTTCTATTTTGTGTCGACAACACTTACATATTACTCAAGTTTAGGAGCTCTTTTAGAACATTAGAGCAACGGTTTTCTCTTAAACTTGTTCGACACTAATGAGAACAAAAAGCACCTTTCAGAGTCTGATAAACTATTGCTGAAGACCTACTTAAGTGATAACAACAAACTACCTCATTAGAAGCAAGATACAAAACATGGTGGACCGCTCATGACTTGCACAATATTATTTTAATTACTTTTTTTGTTGCTATCTTTCCAGCAGTGGGCATCTCTGTACCAGCCTCTGACTTTCAGCTATGAGCTCAGCCAAGTGGATTCTGCTGGAGATTTCTTTGTAAACAAACTGGACCCTGCCACGGCGTTTAAAGGAAAAACCAAGGCACTGCCGCTACCAAAGAAGCAGCCAACCCAGTGCAGCTCAGGAGGTGCTTCCAAGGGCCAAGGCAACACTGGAAGACTGAGTGGAGTAAAGCGTTGAAAGACCTCCCACCCAGTGAGAACGGGATCTTTTTATCCTACAATGCACGGCTTTAACAACTAATCTGTCTGCTGGCTCTGTAATTGTAGAGCATGTTGCTGGAATTTAGTATCATATACACCCGAAGTTATCCACAAAAATGCTTATTACAATAATTTAGCCACAATATGCTCTCATTTTGTTTTGCCTATAATGAAACACACTTCTGCCCCTTGTGAAGGCTAAACTCACAGGGTACTTGTGGTGTTTTTATAAGTCAGCTCTGATGAAGATGGCAGAAGGAGGGCAAAATACACTGGTAGTGAATAACATGATCCTGTGTTTTTGACTCTCAGGAATTCAGCAATATTTTCCCATATAGTTCTTTTTCCAAACATTGACTTCCGTCAGTGCTCCCCAGGGCAGCAATGTAGCTCACTATCACCAGTGTGTGAATGTGTGCGTGCATGAGTGAATGACTGATTGTGTTGTGAAGCGCCTTTGGGGGTTGTAAGACCCAGGGGGTGTGTGATTTTTACTCGTGATCAGTAAACAGTGTAAGGTAACCTCCTTGCTCCACAGGAACACAACTCAGCTGAAAAATGTTGGTGTTGCTGGACATTTTGTTCAGTTTTATGGCTTCTTGTCAGTCTCTGAACCAGTAAATGGCTGCAGGTAGTGAAACAGAAGGCAAGAAAACTCCGGAGCAACCAGTGACTCAGCCCCCTAGCCAATCAGCGGCCAGAATCACGTTGCCAGCTCGACTTAGCCTTGCCAGGTACCTCAACAAAGCAGGGGCTAGAAATAGGGGAGAAAGTAGAGGGAAAATACGAACCGTGCCCTTGGGAACAGTGGTCGGGCCGAGCTGCATCGCTCCGAGTTGCTCTGAGTGTTCCTAGAAAACCATTCTGGTAATTTAATCGTGATTTTAATATTGACTAAAACGCCGACTATGGGTTGTTAATATGGTTATCTTTACTCTAAAATGAAAACTGTCATTTCAGTATTAGGGCTGCATAGTGGTGCTGCGGTTAGTGCTGTTGCTTTGCAGCAAGAAGGTCCAGGGTTCAAATCCCAACTTGGGGTCTTTCTGCATGGAATTTGCAGGTTCTCCTTGTGTATGTGTGAGTTCTCTCCAGGTTCTCTAGCTTCCTTACACAGTCCAAAAACATGACTGTCAGGTGTATTGGTTTCTTTAAAATTGTCCTTAGGTGTGAGTGTGTGTGTGTGTTTGGTTGTTTGTCCTGTGTGTCTCTGTGTTGCAACCTGTCCAGGGTGTACCCCGCCTGCAGAGAACCCTGAAGATCGGCACCAGCCCCCGCGATCCTGCGTGGACAAGCGGGTTTAGACAATGGATGGATGGGTTTCAGTATTAATCAGCCGAGTTGTTGCCGTGCTCTTCCATTAATTCCTGATCGACCATCTGGCAGCTGGATCTTGTCCAGAGATAAATTTCTAAAATTTTTGTTCACATGATAATATTGACTTGTTTTTTTTTTTTTTGTTTTTTTTTAAATGTGTATAATTGAATGTACAGATGATCTGTGGTTGTGCTGCAGCTCCTTCACACTGAGGAGCCAGCGCTTGTAACATCCTCGATCCTACTGACATCTGTATGAAATGTGAATATCATTTATTATTTATTGTGAATTCCTTTACATGTTCTCCATAATTATATAAACAAAATGAGACAAGGCTTGTTTTTCCTCATTGTCTTTTTTGAAGTATTGAATTTTTTTTCTGTACAACATTTTTTTATAACCTAATATGAAAATACAAAGAATCCTTGAACCATCTGTAGCACAATTAAACTTTTCTCAGAGAATCCTTTGTGTGTCTCAGTGTCTCTGTCCCGGTTGTTCAGCTGGTTTTGGTCCTTTAACCCTTCCTCAAACAGATGTAGACGCAGCTTGTCCAAGCGCTTATATGTTTGCCTTTGTTTCAGGTTTCACTCATACATTAGTGCAGATGTTTTCTCCTTTCTTCAAAGGGATAGAGTTCTCCTGCTGTCCGGAGATGGGTGGGTGGTGTAGTTCTACAAACGCCTTGTATAGCCCAGCTCCCAGCACGCCTCCAATGGGGGGAGCCACTAAAGGTACCCACCACCAACCATTTCCAGACCTACGGAGCAAAAACAGAGCTGTTGTGCAGTGGCAGCTGGGGGGTTTAACTCTGCAATCATAATTTCTGATTTTGGCTGATAATCTGAATCTCATCGTGCAAGTCGCAAAGTCATCCTTATTTTTTTTTTATCTCTATGGCAGCAAATAAATAACACTGTCATCACAAGCAAGCATGTTTTTATCTATTCTGTCAGTGTGACATTGACTAATAAGAACATTGGTGACTTAACACTTGGCCCCCGTGGCCCCTTTCATTCTCATCTAATGTCTCTCATCTCCAAGTGAGCGCCCTAACAAAAACTTTGGCACAAAGTAACACATAAAACTATATTTCTAATAGAACTTTTCATGCAAAAGTAAAGCACTTTAAACGCAATTCATGGTAACGCCAAATAAAACTTCTGTCTGACCGTAAAAAAAAAAAACTTAATTCAAAAGAAAACATCTCCTTTTTACCTGAACACATCAAGTCCCCAGCCTGCTATGGCTGTGAAGACCCTGGGTGCGATGTCCCTGGTGGGATTGATGGCGTAGCCACTGTTGCTGCCCAGCGACATGCCGATGAGTACCACCACAAGACCCACTGTCAGAGGTTCGCTGCTCCCAACAGCTGGTTTGTTCTTCTGGTCAGACAGCGCCATCAGGCAGAGAAGCAGCATTGCCGTTCCAATCACCTGATACAAACAATAATTCTACTGAACACCATGAAATGTAAATAAATCATTTAATAGATTCTATTTTAATAGCACAAGGTGTCAAATGTTGATTCTCAGAAATTTTTCTTTACATTTCTTTAGCATCAATGCTAGGTCTTTAATCATTAGTGAAAGACTCAGACTCCCAGATGTGCTTTTTTTATGAAGTAGTCTGTGTTCAGATACTCAGATGTGCCAAATGCATAATAATATTGATTGTAGACATAATCCCATTTTGATCTTTACCTGGTCAACAAATCCACCCATCAGAGATAAGTATGGTGCAGGATAAGTGGCAAAGATCCCAGCTGTGGCCTTCGCACCAGTTACAGTCAGGTTTCCTCCACAATAATCATTAACGGCCTCTGCAAATAAAACATTTTTCGTTTGACATGTAAATTCATTAATAGCATGAAGTGCCTTGTATATTTTTTTACATGTAAAGTTATGTAATCTTACCATAGTAAACTGCATATACTGTTACTGCACCTAGAAATGACCCAAATAGCTGTGCAAATATATACAGGGGTAGCCTCTTCCACGCGAGGCGGCCAAAAACACACATTGTGAAAGACACCGCTCCGTTCATGTGAGCCCCTGAAGCAAATTAAGAAAATACTAGAGGATGATGTTTGCTTTACAGAAGCTCCCTCAATGATCTGAAAGGGTCAGATCTCATACCTGAGACATTTCCTCCAATATGAACCCCCATAGCAACAGCCAGCCCAAAACCAATGTTGATGCTGATGTAGTGTCCAAAAGCTCCCTGTCCGGTCACGACCTGGGCCACACAACCCAGACCCAGAACCTGCAGAGAAAGCCGACTGACTAAGTAAATCTAGTTATAATCATTAAAAGAGTTTCAAGATCATCTATTTCTTGATTTACATCAACAAAATACAATACATTCATAAACTGCACTATTATATTTGCCACACATTTACTCTTTTAAAAGTTGTGCCTCTTCAAAGTTAAAGTCCCATTAATCATCACCCACTGGTGAAATAATTTCTGCATTTGGCCCATCCCCGTGGGGAGCGGTGAGCTGCAGCAGCGGCTGCGCTCGGGAACTATTTGGTGGATTAACCCCTTAAAGCTGAGTGTCAAGCAGGGAGGCATTGGGTCCCATTTTTTAAGTCTTTGGAATGACCCGACCTGGATTTGAACCCCGAGCTCCCAGTCCAGGGCGGAGGTCACTGAGGTGGTTGATATGATTGGTACATTCCTCACAGAGCTGATATATTAAAGATGTTCAACACTCATGTAAACAATACATTTGCATTGGTCTCTAGGATGAATGCCTTGTTAGTCGTTGTCGGGGGGTAAAAAACACTGTTGCACCAAGAACTAGAAGCGAGCCACATCATAGCTGAGCTTCAAATGGCAGGTTTTGGACTTTTATTTCCTTATTTAGACATGTCAACTCTGATTGGATAACAGCAATGTGACTACCACTGACTTGCAATATGGATATTTTATTTCCACGAATAACATTTTGCTAACAGTTAGCTTCTGCTAGTTGCGATGTTCTCTGCTGTTTCCTGGACGCTAAACCAACAACAGCCTTCCCTGTCGTGAGCCCATGTGACCGCAAGGTGTAGATCTGTGAGGATTTTCAAATTCTAGATTTTTACCATCCTCTTTACTACCAGAAGCTAATGCATGAGATACTTGTAGGAGACTAGTTTCATGTTCAGCCTGCATGAAAAACATTGTGACCAATACTTAAATTGGAATTCAACTTGATCAATGGTTCAGCCTTAAGTGCTTTTCCTGAAGATCAATAAAATTTTCAAGGCATCATAGAAAAGCCAACACCGTACACACACTTACTGGTAATTAAAATAAAATTCTTCTTTCAGAAAGTTTTTCATAAAGGCTCCTGGCCAAAGAAACAAATCATTCCAATGCAGTTATCTAAACAAAGTAATCCATGATCAATGAGCTGCTAGTACTATGAAATACATACTATTCAATTGTTTCTCAAATGCAGTGGAATCCCTTTTAGAATCAAATATTGTAGGATTTAAAGACATGAAAATCTGAAAAATAATGTTTTTAAACAATTATTTCTGATTATAACTGGAGGTAAAGTTTGCTACACTTTCTAAAAACAACTGTTATCACTTTTAACTCAGTGAAAAATCACTGGGGAGGAAGGGAAACAGCTGACAGTGGGGAAAACACTGCAGTCATTCATTCAGGAAACAGGAAAAGAAATCCATGCACCAAAGTATTTAGGTTAAGTGTCAGCTGTTAAATTATTTAGATGACAAAAACACGTGTCATTTTTAACTTAGTCCCCATTTCTTCCAGGCTGCTAAATGCTAAGTCACAACAGCTGATCAAGATCACGTGACCTTTAAACCCCTTCTGACTGTTGCCCTTGTAACATTAGATTTCCCACTTCACCCACCAATCAGCTTGCACACACCCATCATAACTGTTACAGCTGTGCGTTTGTGAGAGCGAGGTCAGGTTATCAGCATCAAGAGCATGCTGTTTATAGTTCATGACCCACAATTCTCATAAATGCCTACGCAAACCTTCTGTAACAGAGTTCCAAAATAAGTTTTTATTTTTAGTCCTCCTGTCATCTGAAATGACAGTTTACCACCAGTACAATGTAAGCATATTGCATATCTGTAACAAGGCATAAACTCTTACCATCATCACATATGTGCAGAGGAATTCAGCCAGTCCCACGCGTGAAAGCTCATTCTTCAGCCAAACTTTGGGTCGGGTTATATCCACTCTTCTCCGATGAGACACCCCCTGCTCTACTGATCGCACCAAGTCCTTCATTTTTCCTTCTCCTCCTCTTTGCTTTTACCAAAAAGATATACTTTAATTCAGCAAAAACTGTAAAAAAAACTGAATAATCTTAAGTTCAGGGTTGCTTGAAGTATTTATGAAGTGTCTCCCATGTCAGACAGTAGGCTTCTCCAGAAGCTGTACCGTTACTTCTCCTTTCCTCTGAGTTTCTCTTGTGTGTGTGTGTGTGTGTGTGTGTGTGTGTGTGTGTGTGTGTGTGTGTGTGTGTGTGTGTGTGTGTGTGTGTGTGTGTGTGTGTGTGTGTGTGTGTGTGTGTGTGTGTGTGTGTGTGTGTGTGTGTGTGTGTGTGTGTGTGTGTGTGTGTGTGTGTGTGTGTGTGTGTGTTCAGCCTCCTGTGTGTGTCCTTCCTATGGAAATGACCCTTTTAAATACAAACTCTACTTCATGATTGGATAGGATCATCATGGGCTGTCCTAATGAGAAATGCATTGCTCTGCTGTAAAAGCCAAGCTCATGAAGAGTTGTGGAAGAATCCAAAACCACATAGATTCAAAGATAGTCACTCATTTTCAGGGGGGTTTTCACAGTTCATCTTATTTAAACATGCTCAAGAGATTAAAACAAAAAGGAAAGGCATTTAGCTGAGCTGTTTTTAGAGGCAACAGCAGATGAATCCAGTCCTAACATTCTGATTGCTCAATTCTCTGTGTTTATATGAATTGCACAATTATGACAAAAGACAGTTTCTGTTTACCAGTTTTATAACTAGATAAATAGCATTTCTTGCAGAAATGCTGGATAGCTTAAACTGTTACCTGAATCAGCTTAATAGCTGAACTGAAGCTGAAAGTAAGCAAAACTGTTAAAATGAGCTGAACGTTTTGAAAGATTAAGAAACAAAAAACACCAAAAAGTGAATAAAGCACAAAAAGTGAAGAACGGAGAAAAATATCCTAAACAGCAGAAAACTGAAATCTGAACATCATTTAAAAATCTGGACAGCAAAAATGTCTAAACACTTGTTATTTGAGTAGGACTAGTTTAACAGATTAATTTTTACACTTAGCTGAATTGAGAAATGAGTAGCATAAGCCAAATTCAGAAACTGATTGCTGAAGCTGCTGAATAGCTGAAATGAAGCTGACACTAAGCTAAACTGTCAAAATGAGCTGAATGCATTTAAAAATTTAGAAGCAAAAATCACCAAAAAGTGCAATAAAGCTCAAAATGTAGGTGAAGAATGGAGAAAAAAATGCTAAACAACAAAAAACAACTGAAATCTTTGAACACTGTTTAAAAACTAGACAGTTGGAATGTTTACACACCTGGCATTTGAGTAAGAATAGTTTAATAGTTACATTTTCATAATTAGCTGAACTGTGAATTTAGAAACATTTGCTGATATCTGAAACTGATAGATTAACATATGTTTAGATTGTGTAATGGATGGATGAATGGTTGGGTGGATAAAATGATGGATGGATGGATGGATGGATGGATGGATGGATGGATTCATTAGACCAAGCCGATCAATTTGATGTATTATATGTGTGGATGTGTACTTCCATTTAGCCAGCAGATGATTGAACTCTCTCCGCCAGTCAGAGAGCTGGGATGGGGTTGGGCGGTTTCCTGCCTTCTGACGGTTACTAAAATGTAAGTTGCATTTCTAGTTTTACGTACAGAGAGGTCAGAAAGATCAGATACAGCAGTTTGTTATTGGCTGAGTATTAGGCTTTTTACATTCCTTTCGATGAGACTTGTTTGGGGTAATCCTTATGCACCTGTGTTGCCATGGTAACAGATGACAGGAATCTGCCTCAATATGGTGATGTCCAATGTCCCTTGACCATTTTAAAATTTAAATAATGTTTGTATTTTAAAGTATGTTGATACAGTAGTGTCTAAAAGTTTACAAAAAGTTGTTGCTAAGCCTGTTGCCATTGTAACTGATAACGTATTTAAAAGTTAATACAAGTTTCTGGAGACCAAGCCGGTCGATTTGATGTATCATATGTGTGGGTGCTTAGTCCTGTTTGGGCAGAAGATGGTTGAACACTCTCAGCCAATCAGTGAGCAGCACTGTTTTCCCACCTTTTTCTGTAATGTTGGAGTTCTGAAGCTGTATTGAAATAAACAGGAAAAGCTGCAGATCGCACACAATGCAGCTAAAATACAGAAAGAAACACACACACACACACATACACACACACCCACACACACACAGAGAGAGAGAGAGAGAGAGAGAGAGAGAGGGAGAGAGGGAGAGAGAGAGAGGACAAGCTTACTTAAACACAATTACACACACACCCGTGCGCGCCCACAACCACACACACACACACGAGAAAATTTTAGCTGTCTGAAGCCGATCGGAGACAAAACCACTGTCCCTACCAAGCCCCTACAATGCGGGTGAAAAATTGAGGCCAACGCGGAAGTGACAAAAATTGCAGTTCCACCCTCATCCGCTAGGGGCTGGTGTCAGAAGCGAGCAAATCCTCACTGACTCCCATGTTAAAAATACCAATTTCACAGCAAAAATAAACATGTTTACAGCCTGGTACCAAAACATGTTTTTTGTTTAAATTATCTAGTTTACACTCATGACAACTCTGAGGGGGTGAATTTTTTCTCACTCTTCTGTTTGAGTGTATTAAAAGCCTAAAATTCTGTATAATTAATGAGCATCAGACCCACGTGACCGCAGAGCTAGCTCCGTGGAAGGCCTCAGTACAGCCTCGGTCTGGCTTGGAAACTGTTCCGGGATTTTGAGTCTCCGTGTGTGTGTATTCTTTTTTGGATATTATTTGTGCAATTGTTGGACAAAATGACTTGCTGTGGCATTAATTGCACTAATAGAGCGTCCAAGGAGTCTCCACTTCATTTTTTTTTTCGGTAAGTAAAATTATATTTATGTATTTTAGGTCGCTGCCGGGCTGAGCTTAGATTTTAACATGTACTGTTTAACCGTGAAATTTAAATGTAATAGGGTAAAACCCAGTGCATTTAACATAATGCTGCACTTTAGAAAATGGGTTGAAATATAACATGTTGGTGGAGCTGGGTTCCGACTATCGGCTTGTGGAGCTCTCGGGAGACTGATGTTTTCCACCCGTTTCTCCCCTCCCCGCAGCTTGGCGCATCTCTGTCTGATCGCGGCTTCTGCCTGCTGCGCGGGCTGCCGGCTTGTGGAGCTCTGGATGGAAACTGATGTTTTCCACACGGTCCTCCCCTCCCAGCAGCTCGGCGCATCTCTGTCTGATCGCGGTTTCTGTGTGCTGCGGCAGGCTGACGGCTTGTGGAGCTCTGGGATGGAAACCTTTCCACCCGGTTCTCCCCAGCGGCAACTCTGCGCATCTCAGATCGCAGCGGCCTTTGTCTGCTGTGCGGCTGCCAGCTTGTGGAGCTCTCGGGAGACCTCTGTGTTCCACCCGGTTTTACCCAGCGGTCAGCCCGGCATATTTCTGACTCAGAAGCTCTGGTGTTGTGCACAGTTAACTCCGGTAGCTAGGTTGCTACCTCCGTTACCTTAGCTCCCACCTCCGCGTTAGCTTTGGGTTAGCTTCAGGTTAGCTTGTAGCTAGTTCGACCGGGTGTTGTCAGTTGATCCCAGCCTTACAGCCCCACCCTCAGCTCCACCTCTCTTCCCTTTTGTGGAATTGTCTGGGCTTGACGGAACCTGTGACACAGTCAAAATGGCGGTGGTGGCCACCTCCCATTTTTCTTCAAAAACGTGTTATTGGAGCCCATGGAAACCCATTGTCCATATATGTATACGTCGATGGTCTCTACTCATTCTTAGGCACATAGAGAAAGAACCGTAACACTTAAGGACAAAATGAAACCCAATCTGAAAAGCTGACAAAAATTCCTACTTTTTGAGATATAATTTATTTCGGTATAGTCCAAACGGTCTGGGTGTTGGAAAGAGCTGTGTCCAGAAAATGTGAAGTTCAACAGTTAGTGTGGAATCTTCAGATTGGAGTGGTAAGAAACTTTTTTTTAATTTTGAACATTCTCAAAGAAATGAACCCTACGACCACAGTGTTTGGAGTACATTCATGATTTATAGCTCACAACAAAGGTATATCCGTTAGCTGCAAGTCAGCCTGTGTCTCATTTCAATCTGACCTACGATTCTCTCAGGTCAATGCCAGAAATGGAGCAAAGGAGGGTCATTGCTCCTATCTCTTCCCATTATAATTTTTGTGAAAATTTCTGGCAATCTCAAGCCGTACCTCAACTTCTTTCTGTGATTTTAGAAAAACCGTAAAAGATGTCAAGAGGATTTCTTTTAACCAGTAATAGCTGAAAGTCTTGTGAGTTTGTTGAAACTTGAATGAAGTCTCTAAGTTAAAGTTAACCTATAAGAGTAAGAGTTCAAAAAAGTGATAGGATTTTACTGAAAATTGAGCAATCCCATTCATTTCAATGGGGAAAAAATCGCAGAAAAAGCTGACTATATCAAAAAGTACAAATATTTTAATACCAAAAGTCATTGCTGAACAAGCTGAACGTATTGATACCAAAATTGTGTAAATAGCTGAAGAAATGTGGAAGTAGTTAATGCCAAAAAATGTACGGAAGCAGAATAATAAACGTTAAAGAGAAACAGTAAAACAATACTTTGAATGCTTTACAACATTCAAACAATAAACAAACCCTGGTTCTCTTTGCCAAGTGAATGTCTGATTACTTTTCCTCTGATGCCCCCTAGAGGCGGGGGTCTGGAATTTCTTTCTAAGAATTGCACAATAATAAAAAAAAGGTGTGTGTGTGTGTGTGTGTGTGTGTGTGTGTGTGTGTGTGTGTGTGTGTGTGTGTGTGTGTGTGTGTGTGTGTGTGTGATAGAATAGAAGAATAGAATAGACTTTATTAACTCCACAGTGGGGAAATTGACTTGCTACAGAAGCACATGCACTTAGAGAAAAATAATGAAAAATAGTAACAGGATTACAGGGCAACATGCAAAGACAATAAGCTATTATTGTAACCTTCAACCACTTTAACAGGTGTCTATACAGGTAACTGTAAAAGGGCATTTCTTAACAAAGAAAAGCCCTTCCCATTTCATGCTGTCAGCAATGGCTCCACATGGAAGAGAAATGTCACAAAATCCGAGAAAGGGAATAATTTGGTTTCAAAACTGTATGGTGTCGTAAAGTTTAGGATTTAAAAGAGAAAAGCATGGTGCCTACAGTGAAACATGGTGGTGGCGGTGTCCTTATGCGGGACTGCATGAGTGCTGCTGGTGTTGGGGAGCTGCATTTCATTGATGGTATCATGAACTCAACAATGTACTGCTC